GACTTCGCATTCCAGGATGTCTGGCTCTAAGTGAGTGATCACACCATCGTGGTTATCTGGGTCATTAAGATCTTTTTGAATAGTTCTTATATGTATTCTTGCCACCTCTTATTAATATCTTCTGCTTCTGTTAGGTCCATACCGTGTCTGTCCTTTATTGTACCTATCTTTGCATGAAATGTTCCCTTGGTATCTCTAATTTTCTTGAAGAGATCCCTAGTGTTTCCCACTCTATTATTTACCTCTATTTCTTTGCATTTGATCACTGAGGAAGGCTTTTTTCTCTCTCCTTGCTATTCTTTGGAACTCTGCATTCAAATGGGTATAGTTTTCCTTTTCTGCTTTGTCTTTAGCTTCACTTCTTTTCTCAGCTATTTCTAAGTCCTCTTCAGACAACCATTTTGCCTTTTTGCATTTCTTTTTCTTGGGGATGGTCTTGACCACTACCTCCTGTACAGTATCACGAACCTCCTTCCATGGTTCTTCAGGCACTCTGTCTATCAGTTCTAATCCCTTGAATCTGTTTGTCACTCCCACTGTTTCATCATAAGGGATTTGATTTAGGTCATACCTGGATGGTCTAATGGTTTTCCCTGCTTTCTTCAATTTAAGTCTGAATTTTGCAATAACAAGTTCATGATCTGAGACACAGTCAGCTCCTGGTTTTGTTTTTGCTGACTGTATAGAGCTTCTCCATCTTTGGCCACAAAGAATATAATCAATCTGATTTCGGTATTGACCATCTGGTGATGTCCATGCGTAGTCTTCTCTTGCGTTGTTGGAAAAGGGTGTTTAAAAAGATAAAAATGTAAACTACCAGGAAAACTATATGGGAATTTTAAAAGTAACAAGTTTTATTTAAAAGAGTAAGAAAATTGACCACATTTCAATGCAACAATGCTACTTAATAAGTAACACTCATTTTAAATATTAAAATACTTAAAACGAACGACTGATAACAGGACTTACGAGTGCCACTGCTCTCTTTGTCCCCTGAATTTTTCACCAGGCTCATGGCATATTCACATACTTCAGCTGCTTCTCTTTGCGCAAGTTGCCGGAGACAGGCCACAGCTGCTCGTCGAAGTAATAGATGGGAACTACACAGATGAACCTGTAAACCATAACAATTTTAGACTTTTTTTAAAAAGTTGTAATCTCACTTGTCTAATGGATATATATTAACACCTAATTTCTGAAGAGGCTCTTCATTTAACCCCCCTTATTTGTTTCCAATATAGCCAAATGATGGACTTTTCAAAAACTGGTAATACTAATAGAGTATTTTAACAGGCTACAAAAGAACTGTCCCAAGTCTTGGTCTAAAGGTCATATAATATACTTAGATTAAAACTCAGAAGGATCTTTTGCACATTTTATACACAGTCCTATTAAACTCTGTCACTGAAAAAAAATTTTTTTTTTTGGACCTAGAGAGTGTCATACTGAGTGAAGTCAGACAGAAGGAGAAATATCATATGAAAACCCTTACATGTGGAGTCTAAAAAGAAATAATACAAATGAACTTATAAAACAGAAAGAGACTCACAGAGTTAGAAAACAAACTCATGGTTGCCAGGGGGACGGGATAGTTAGGACTCTGGCAAGGTCACGTACACACTGCTATATTTAAAATGGATAACCAACAAAAACCTACTGTATAGCACACGGAACTCTGCTCAGTGTCATGTGCTGGCCTGGATGGGCCTCAGAGGGGTTTGGGGGAGAACGGATATAGGCACATGGACGGCTGAGTCCCTTTACTCTTCACCTGAAACTATTACAACATTGTTCATCGACTATGAAGTCACTCAGTCGTGTCCGACTCTTTGTGACCCCATGGATTACACAGCCCACCAGGCTCCTCTGTCTATGGAATTTTCTAGGCAAGAATACTGCAGTGGGTTGCCATTCCCTTCTCCATGTCACTAAAATTTTTAAAGTGCACGGAGATCAAGTGTACTAAATGAAAAGTCACAGGGTAGAGCACACAGGAAGAACTGAAAGTAAAGGAAGGTACACATTAAAATAAAAAATTAAAATTAAGCAAACATAAATATCTGAAAAGAACTGCAAAACAGATTATTTTGGTATAGAATATTTTTCATTTCAAAAGTTCCTGAAAGAATCAATATAGTACACTCTAGTACATGATATAAACCATAAGACATACCACTGCATGATAATTAAGAGCTCAGGCTCCAGTTGCCAGACTGAGTTTAAATCACACACTTACTCCTGTGTGATCTTAGGGAAGTTACCTAACCTCTCTGTGCCTTGTCTGTGCATCTATGAAATGAGGATAGCAATTTCCCACAGAAATATAGTGAAAATAAAATAAGTTTTAAAATAATATTTTATTTAGAACAGTAGATGCTACATAGTAAATCATCATAAATCATACAATAGATAATAAATCTATTATCACTCAATCTATCAATCTGATTCATCAAGCAAATATTAAACTCTGCTCCATATGTTGCTTTTTAAGCAAGGAAGCAAGACATTTTAGAAAGAATCTCATCCAGAAATGATGGAGGGGGAAATAATTATATGGAAGACATCACTCCTTCACAATGCTAGATAATGTATTTTTATGCTGTTAATATAGCATTTGTAACTCTTATTTTTGCATAAAGCTCACAACCATTGAAATTATACCAAGTATTAAAAAAACAAAATATAACTGAGGAGAGAAAACCTAACAGATCAGATTTTTTCAACATAATGTTTTCTTTTCTCTTCCTAAAAATAACGACATTTTAAAACTTTCAAATATCCTATAGGTAAGGTTAAGCATGGTCACACGACACAGAAGGAACAAATCTCTCAGAGTTTTGCTTTTTTATCTATACAGATAGGTCCACCCTACCTATCTTATGCAACTGTGGAAAGATCAAAGCATTAAACATATATGAAGCAGAACACCATATAATTTCATTTAATTACAATTAAATAGAACTGTAGCTAAGAAAATACACTCAACAAATCCTGAGTCAAAGTGAAAGAAATAAAATATTTTAAGGTTTACATAATGTTTTTAAAAACTCAGTTTTAACAGTCCTGAAGTCACTTCCCACCCCTCCATTTCAACATCTCTGATATTAGAGATGCAAATTATCACTGATGGTATTTTGCAGCCACTGTGAATCAGGTAACAATTAAATTGTATTTGTTTGGAAACTTTCCCTTGATACTTTCTGGTAACATCCACAAAATATCAGGGAAAAAAACATATTAAATTTGATAAAAAAAAATATGTGGCTTCACACAAACTTCTCAGCTGCTCAGATATAATCACAATTTACTGTGACAGCTGTCAGTAGGGCCCAGTGAAGCCTTGTTCTTGAATTTTATACAAACAGAGCCACGAAGTCTGTTCTCTTCCATGGTTTCTCTTTAGCAATATGTCTGTTGGACTCACACATGTGATTCCACATAATAGGGCTTCATTCATTTTATTGTTGTATAATATTTTATTGAAGAATTACACCATTATCCACTCTGCTGAATGGAGCACATTTTGGCTGTTCTTGTTTTTTGGCTAGCACAAATAACCCAGGAATGAAAATTCCTCAAGATTTATTTTGGCATACATGTGCATGCATTTCTCTCAGGTATTTACTTTAGAGGGGAGTTGCTGGATTATACTGCATGCATACTTTCAACTTTTGCAGATTATGCCTCACTGTTTTCCAAAGAAGTTTCTTTTTTCTTCCTTATCTTCTGCAAACCTTAGGAACACCATGCTGCATGCTCCTACATTAGGCCTCTAGTTAGTATCAGTCAGTCAGTCATGTCCAACTCTTTGTGATCCCATGGACAGTACCCTGCCAGGCTACTCTGTCCACAGAATTCTCCAGGGAAGAGTAATCGAGTGGGTTGCCATTCCCTTCATTAGGCCTCTGTGAAGTGAAGTGAAACTCGCTCAGTCTTGTCTGACTCTTTGCGACCCCATGGACTATACAGTCCACAGAATTCTCTAGGCTAGAATATTGGAGTGGGTAGCCTTTCCCTTCTCCAGGGGATCTTCCAAACCCAGGGACTGAACCCAGGTCTCCAGCACTGCAGGAGGATTCTTTACCAGCTGAGCCACAAAGGAAGCCCAGAAAGCCCTGTTATTTAAACTGTATGTCATCTTGCTATCCTATCCCTTCTTGTGCCTGCCATGCACTTATATCCTGGACAATGAGATATCCCTGCTCTGTCACTGACGACATGGGCAGTTAGCTCAAGTCTTTTTCTCATTGAAATCTCCTACAATCATCCCAAGTAATGGACTTGCTGTGTGTAGAAAAGATCTGGATAGGAGAATGAATGATCACATGGTATAAAAAGCATCTACTTGCCAGGAGGAAAATAAAAGTAATCCAGAGTGGTGACTGTTCTTACAAAAACACATTTGAACAGTTCTATCATATACATTTTAATATTTTTATATAATTTCATAAAGATTACTGTGGTGAAGCTTACCTCTTAATAGATTTCCTGAAAAAAAAAATCACCTCATTTGTGTTAGGTATTACATATGGTATCACATAGTATGGTCTCTTCTGGTGGCAATGGCTGAATAGAGATGAACAGCCCTGATTTCACAAATTTGGATGAATCCATGTGTAAACTACTTTTTAGAGAGTGTCAAAAGACTTGGTAATGAAGACAGCTCAAAGGGCGTTTAGTAATGTGGAATCAAGATAGCCACTCGAGTGGCCCTCTTTTTTATCTTTTATCTCCCAAGCCATCGCTTTCCCAGATTTTTAGAAAAGGTTTAGGAGAGTGCTCCAATATACCGTGTAACAAAACCCTTGATGCTATGCTAAAAAAAAATAATTTTGGATACATTATTTTCCGTTAACACACAGGACACTCAGTGTGTTCCCTTACTGATAACCTCCTCTGACATAAAGAAATTCATGTTATTACTTGACCAGATCCTCTTAAATATGTTCCATCTCGTAAGGAAAACTTTCACAGTATAATTATATTTAAGGAGAAAAAAATGCACAGAGGAACCAGACATCTGAGGAGTGTGTGTCTGAGTCTTCGTCACATTTATCAGTCGCCTATCCGAGCTGCGCTCCCCAAGTGGCTCAGCAGTAAAGCATCTGCCTGCAATGCAGGCGATGTGGGGTTTGAGCCGTGGGCCAAGAAGATTCTCTGGAGGAGGAAATAGCAACCCACTCTAAAATTCTTGCCTAGAAAATTCCATGGACAGAGGAGCCTGGCAGGCTACAGTCCATGGGGCTGCAAGGACTCGGACACTACTGAACACACACACACGCCAGAGCTGTATCATGTAACAAGTTCACCGTGCTCAAGAGATGCCATCTGTGCCCTCAAAACTTGGGTGTTAGGCCATGGCTTTTGACAGGATGGCATGTATCTTGTTGCAGAATGCAATCTGGTGTATACTATTAATTGACTATTTTCTTTGAGGATGTTCTTTGTAAACATTTCACATGCACCTGGTTTCCACACTGTGGCACATTCAAACTCCTTGATGGTGTGGGACTGATTCCCCCGAAATAACTGTCCAGCTTCATCCTGTGCCCTTATGACCCACCTCGGCCTTTTCCTCTAAGCCTCTGACTAAATAATTCTTTAAATGCATTCCTTCCTTCCCATCTCAGGACCTTTCATATATTTTTATTTCTGCTTAAAAATAAGTGTTGTTACTCCAATATCATACTTTTCCCCAAACTAACTCCTATTTATCCTACAGTTTGCATCTTATGTATCATTTTTTCAAGGAACTCTTTTCTGAATGCCTGGGTTATGATAGGATCCCCTGTTTATATGCTTGTCTATAGTCTTTTCTAGCATTTATTATAAATAATCATTGTTGACCACACTTTAATATTTTTCTTTCATGCTATGTATGATGATTTTTGTACATTTTTTAAAAAAGAAAAAAATTTTTATTCTTAAAGCTGCACCCAAGAGATTCCATTCTCTGTACAACATACTTGCCCAGCTTTGAGGTATGTTTGATCCAGAGAAAGTCCCCTGGACCTTATCTAACAGTTCATTAAAATATTTCCTAAAGGTGAAAAAGAAAATCAGTGAATAAAATGAACAGTCATAAAGTGACTACTGAAGCTGAAACTCTAGAATGCACAATCCAGGAACTTACTTTTTTGCTTTGCTCTAGTCTGATCTTTTGGAAAACAAATTTTGGGTTCCCTAAACAAATAAAAGAATGAAACAGCTTTATACTTACACAAAGGCTAGGAACAAGACTGGATAAATTGACATGTCGTGGCGCAAACATGTGAAGCTGCTGAAGGCAAGATATGGCAGCGGCCTGGACGAGAGAATCTGAATGGTCCTGGGTTATCGCACAACCCACCAAACAAGAAGAACGGATTGTGGAAATTGTTGCTCCATTCCCTAGGAGCAAAGTAAAAGACAATGTAAAATACAATGATTTTATTATTAGTATCACCAAAAATATTCCTAGAAAATAACTATCTTCTAAATAACCCCTTTCCAAATGAACACACAAAAAAGTATACCTGAAACTAACACCACACTGTAAATTAACTCTACTTCAACCTAAAAAAAAAAAAGAATAACTATGTTGAATTAACATTAACTAGTATGTTTGCTCTATGGCAGGTTTGGTATTGCAACTGTTAAAAATCACTATAAGAAATGCCCTTATTTTTTTTCACCTTACATTTTAACAGCTTACATTTTATCAAGCGAATAAAATCCTATATAACAAGAGTCAGCAAACTTTTCTTAAGACGGCCAATATTTTTATTTTGCTTGCTAGGAGGCAAAATCCACACTACTGTATGAGGGAAGTGCCTACATAACCATTTATAAACAATTCTCACCTCACGGGTTGTTTAAAAAAAAAAAAAGACCAAACAACCAGGCATCTGACAGATTCGGTCCATGGATCATAGTTAATTTGCCTAATTTTCCTGTCCCCTGTTATAAGAAAGTCATCCCCTAAATTCCTCTCCTTGAAAGCCAACCTCAAAAAAGAAGTCACTTCTTAAAAGGATATAACATACAGCATAGAGAATACAGTTAGCAATACTGTGATAACTATACGGTGATAGATGGTTACTAGACATAACGTGGCGATCAATTCATAGTATATATAAATGCTGAAATACCAAGCAGTACACCTGAAATGAATATAATAGTGTATATCAACTATGCTTCAATCAAAATTACAAAAGGAGTCACTTTTAAGATAAATAACCCTCTTTCTGATGGTTTTGTAAACAAAGACTTTGTAAAATCTATACAAATGATTTCAAAACACAACAGTTTATGAATGACAATAACGCATCTTTCTTAGATTTACCTAGCTTTATATTTATCCTCTGATAAACTATATTGTCTTTTAAGCCTATCATTGTTTCCTTTGGAAGAGCCAGAACATTCCTTATTCTCTGGTTCTTTGTTCAAATAACAGTACCACTTCTATGATATAATAATGTCAAATCCTATTTTCCTAATAAGATTAACGGCAATTTCAGCAGAGATAGGAAAAATAAATTGTGTAGTATTACACACTGTCTAGATAAAAATGTCTTAGTTGCCAAATATAAGTGATTTAAAATTTTACCAATGCAAAAAAAATTTTTTTATATACATATAAAGACCAAACAGGGCTTCCCTAGCGGCTTAGTGGTAAAGAATCCACCTGCCAACACAGGAGATACAGATTCGATCCCTGGGTCGGGAAGATCCCCTGGAGATGGAAACGGCGACCTACTCCAGTATTCTTGCCTGGGAAATCCCAGAGGGCCCTGACAACTACAATCCACAGGGTCCAAAGAGCTGGACGTGACTTAAGAGACTGAGCGAACACACTTACGCAGAGACCAAACAAGGAGACCACAGAGTCACACAAGAGCTATACTCTAGTTTGAAATACACAGGCCTCACCATCATATCAGAAAGCACTTGGCAGACACCTACACTTAATCAAGGGCACATATTTATTCTCTCTACATACCTGTGATATTCACTGGAAGAAAGAAATATCGGCCTTCTCAAAGAGGGCACTGAGACCAAGATAGAGACATGCATAAATCATGTGTTTTCCCATTCCTAGCATTCCTCCGTAAGATCCTTTCTTTTTTCACTTCCCTCTTCTTTTTAAAGTATCTATCCGAATGGAGGCAACGGAGCATAGTAGTTAAGAATGCAGGCAAACAAGCAAAGGAAATTTACCTGAGCTTGACCTCTGATTCCAGCGACTCACTGGTGGGTGTGTGTGTGTCTGTGTATGTGTGCTCAGTTGTGCATGGACTACAGCCTGCCAGGCTCCTCTATGAAATTTTCCCAGCAAGAACACTGGAGTGTGCGGCCACTTCCTTCTCCAGGGGATCTTCCCGAACCAGGGACTGAACCTGAGTCTCCTGCATTGGCAGGCAGTTTCTCTACCACTGTGCCACCTGGGAAGCCCTCACTAGCTATATAATATATATAAAATCTTGGGAAAGTTCTGAACCTTTCTCAGACTCAGTATTTCATCTGTGAAATGGATAGATATACCTTTATCAGGATTGCTGTTAGAATCAAATGAGATAATACATATAAAAAGCTAGACTCACTGAAAGATATAATAAATAGTAGGGGGAAAAGAGAAAGCTCTGAAAGTAGCTCATATATTTTGCATAAATTCACAATAATTTTCTGACCTGAGTGTTTAAGTTAACCATTTGTAGAATTATTTCAGTGGAAGTACATGGTTAAGAATTTGGGCCTTAGGATCACAAATCTGCTACAAATCAGTTGAATGATTCGAGGCAAGTTAATTAATTTCTCTGAGTTTAATTCCTCAGAGAAAATAATATATTCCTTAGAGTTAAAAAAACAAAAAAGTGAAGCTAGAGTCCATGAAGACAAGTGGATGGCACCCCAGGCCAAAGGAACTCCACTTTTACCTTTGACTTCATAGGGCTCCAAGTAACATTTTAACTTAGATGTTTTCTCTGTTCAAAAGTTCAGAAAGCATCTTCATATCACAGGTTTCTTAAGGGGAGTAAATAAAATAGCACACATAAAAAGCAGAGTTCCAGGTGTTCAGTAAATTGCCAGTACATAACACATAAAAATTATTATTATTATTATAAGATTTCCTTAAGCAATGTGAAGGTAATATTCAGGAAGCTGAAAGACAGTTATTATCTGTGTAATCCCTTTAGCTTAAGATGAAGTTACTCACCTTGCAGTTCAGGTCCAACAGTAGTTATTATAGCACCCAAGCATCTACCCAAACACTGATGAACTTCTGTGTGTGAGGGTGGAACTGTCAACAGCAAGGTAAGAACTAGAGATAATGTTGGCTCTACATATCCACGATACATTGGGCCACTAGAATCCACTATCAAAGCAAGCGAGTGAAGGGACCAAGTCTGGAATAAAATATAATTTTATTTTATTGTAAATAGTATAGTGAATTGATATTTTAACTTGAATTTTCATAATACTAATATTTTCATTTTTAATGAATAGAAATATTTTAAAATATATTCCTTAAATAAGTAAAGGTCAACACATAAGCTACCAGTAGCCAATGACCAAAGCAACTGATACACAAATGCTTTGTTTAAAGTTCCTTTGCAGTGTGACTTTTAAATGTCAGGTAAAAAGTTTCATCGATGAACGAATCATTTCCTCTATGATAATTACATGCATTTCACAATTCCCAGAAAGAGAAACTTCTGTAATGAGAGTTTAATTTAGTGGATGCTAAGGACATCCGATATGGCTTTACAGTTTTGCTAAGAAACTAGCCTGAAATAAAACCATGACCACACCAATGTTCTGTAGTACTCAGATCTATTTCTCAAGCAACGACATTCACATAACAGCTCTTCAAGTCACCGAATCTTTTTAGGCTCTAATTTATGTTTACTAAGCACAAATCATCTTAGTGGCTAATAGTATTTGCAGAATTAACCTGGAGCAATGTACTGTAATCAGCACAGGCTTAAAAAATGAAAAGTCCTTTAAGCTGCCCACATCCACATGTTATTAAAGAAAGTATCTTTTTAAAAAAACAAAAAAACTCTCCACTTTATTACCAAAGACACACTCTCAGACACCTCATTCAGTTCTCAATTCTTAAGAGATTTTACCTATACATATTTTTGAAGCCGCAATGGATTGACTGAAGAGCAGTTAAAGGTCCTGCTTCATACAGTTCACACCTTGGGGATCTGGCTGGGCTCGGGCTCACATTTCCTTGCTGTTCTCAGTAAAGTCACCCTTCTTCACTAGGGCTCCAGCCTCACCTTTTTCATGAGGTCTTCTTAGGACCCCACCATAGCCCAGGCGTTCTGCCGACTGAAGTGCTTTGTCACCACTGATGCCGTCTGCCTCCTTCTCCAGTTTCTGGGCACCTCATTTATAGAACTCTCTTCGTAGGCCTCCCTATGATAGGTTTGGGCTTTGCTGCAGTGAAGCAGCATGTACCAGGTAAGTGCGGGAGAGATGGGGGTGTTGCTGGCTGGCCTTCCTAACTCAACTGCAGCCTTACTAGAAGCCTCTCTGTGTCAAGCAGGATGCGGGGAGGCACCATCTATGCTGGGAAGCCTGGGCTGCAGCGTCTGGAAGGTTCTGAGTGGGTGTGTGGGCTACTTACAGAAGGGATGTGAAGGCCGTCTTAGCACCCCTTCTCTGGTCCCACTGCAACTCTTCTCTTTTGGTCTTTAGGATACAGACAGCACGAGAAGCACAGAGTATGTCCTAACAGATAGGGAAACTGCCTTTTCCCTTTTTCTTTTCATAAGTTAAAGTCATCTGGTCCAACTTTCTCATTCCTCTCAGTGGAGGGGGAAACCAGTACCTTTTATTTTTGCTATTGGCATCTCCAAAGGAGAGTAGCACTCCTGAGCTGAGGACACAGAGGTCTCAATAGAGAAGTTTCCCAACTTGACAACGTGGTAGGAAAAAAAAAATCCATACCTTACTTTCTACTACTTGTCAATCTATTCCAATCCTAGGGAATTAAGCAACCTGAGTTGGACAATTACGTATAGAAACTATACCTACTGAGTGAGAAAAGTAATAGGAATACAGCAGCTTGAGGGAGGAAGACCACAATACACATTTTGGAGAAACAAAATAATGGAAGAACAAAAGAAAGTATTTTAATAAAACTATTGCAAGGATTTTAAAGGCAATAAAAGGCACAAAGGAGAAGGGTTTTTTTTTTAAAAAAAACACACCAGGATTTATATTAAATGTTCAGTAAAAAGCTAGAAAAAAAGAATAATTATTATTAAATACTGGAGAAGGAAATGGCAACCCACTACAATATTCTTGCCTGGGAAATCCCAAGGACAGAGCCTGGTGGGCTATAGTCCACGGGGTCACAGAAGAGTTGGACATGACTGAGCAACTAAACAACAAATTATTAAATACAAAAATCATTACTTTTTCAATTGGAAGTTCAGTCAGAAGATTATCATGTAACACACAGTGAAAATACAAAAAATTTAAAATAATGAGGAAAAAGACAAGAGGCTCAATATGCAAATAAGTACCAGAAAGTGAAAAAGAAAAGATGAACTTATACACAACTTGATGAAATTTCTAAGCTGCAAGGATAGAGGGAAAATGCTAGTAAACCAAAATGTAAGGTTATAAACCTATAGGCATATTTCAGATAAGTTCCTTAGCAAAAGAAATAAAAAGCCAGGGAGAAAGACAGCTATGATGTCTATAAGCTCCATTATGTTAGAAATTTATTATCAATACATAAACTGATGTCTTTGGGAGTTGAAAATACATGCACAGCATAAAAGAAGAAAACGTATTTATCACTAAAGGTTTACATCTGGATATTCAAAGCCACACTGCAGGAAAACTTTACAGTAATTGTACATTGCTTAATTTGATTATTGGCTTATATGTTACCTTCTACATCTTAAAGAACATATTTGAAAGCTTTTATAGATAACTGATAAAAAACTGAGATGTTAATATCTGTGGAAATTTAACTCAAAACATTAAGCTACTCTGAGACTCTCACATGCAACACAAAAAATATCAAAATATTTATGAATAATGAAAAAAAAAGGACTGTGTGCCAGGAATCGTATATCCAATCAAATATCATTCAAATTTGAAGATTAAACAGAGTTCATTTCAGTTATGCAAGGAATCAAAAAACACACCACTCAACAACCCTTCTCAAGATTATTATTGTTAAAGGAAGTTTCCCTATCAAGTAAAAATAAAATAAGAACAGAGATCTAAATACAGGAGTTGAGGATACAAAAAAGAAACCGCTATTCAACAATAAATCTCTAGTAATTACAGCTGAATACATGTATACAATAATTTGACAGTGAAGTGTAATTTTTGAGTTAGGATTCTTAACACAGAAGAGACTTTACAGAAAAATGAAGAATGCTACCATACTATTCACATGCAGATGAGAACTGAAATAGCAGCTTTGAGGGAATGTATGTGATCTACATTGTAGTAAAATGTCATGTCATAGGAATGAATCACGTGAAGCAGTCACTTACAGGAGTGTGGTTTTAAGAAATCAAAGCGAGAGAGGGCTGAGAAAAAGAGGAAGACAAAGGAAAGAAAACTAACACTGACTCTTTGACATAAAAGAAGAAAGCAGCATCTTCTTAGGCAAAATAATTTTACAGTTGTGTTCTTTTCTTGCAGATTACTATGGAAACAGTGTTAAAAAAAATAAAACAGGGGCTTCTCTGGTGGCTCAGTGGTAAAGAATCTGCCTGACAATGCAAGACACTCAAGTTCGATCCCTTACCCAGGAAGATCCCACATGCCAGAGAAACTTAGCTGGATTTTTCCACAGCTAAACAAGGCTCACCTGTGACATGAACACTACATGTCTAGCACTTAGAAAACAGCTTTAAAAAAAAAAAACAGCATAGACCCACTTAAGGGGCAAGATTATTTCATTTGTGTTTTTAGTTCTTTGGGGACATTTGCGCTTTATAGCTGAAAACATTTTCCAAGAAGTCAAAGCAAACCAAGCCTGCAGATTAAGAAGCCTTTGGTGGATTTTGAATCCTTTTCTTATGGCGAAGGAATCCATCTATAAACACACCAACAACAGGCAATAATGGCAACCAAACTTGTTTCTGTCATCATCTGAGTCCCAATGTGAAGCTGGTGAGTTGAAAGCTACTGGATTCATATATGCAATATTTTGGGGTACATCAATGTGAAATGGCAAATCAAGAATCTAGGATATTGTCGCACACATGAAGTTTTTGCCTCTTACTGTAATTAAATCTATTTTTGTGTAAAATATTTGAAGAGAAAGAAAAAATGAAATTCAAGGAGTAACTTGAAGATTCAACCCATGACCCTGTACCTGGGTTAGGGTATCAGAGGAAGGGAGAGAGAAAGGTTATTAAAAGAAATTGATCCATCTACCTAATGTGAGGAAATACAAAGAAGAGGAAACATGTACCAAGGATAATAAATAATAAAAAGAAACAATGCTTCAAGTAATGTATGGAATGGGTCAAATTCCCATAATAAGACAGACTTTAGGTAGGTTCAAGTACAAAATCCTGTTATACACTCATAAAACAAAATGATAGAGAAAGACCCTAAGACATTTTCCCTAACACCTCATCAGAATCATTATCATTTTTTAGAAATAAATTTTCCTACAAATAATATTTTCAAATTTCATAATAAAAAACTTGATATCCGACCTGGACTTCAGAGGATGTTCCATCCTGTGCCAGAGCCAACAAAATGCTGACACTGGTCTTCAGATGTTGTCCTGAGCCAATACCACCAACATAACGATGCAAACAGCCCAGAGCCAATGAGTGGCCAGTTCTGGACACGACGTCTCGAGCCGACTTCAACCTGGAAAAGAGTCATGCTTCGGGGATTGTTTCTTCTCTCTCCCCATGGCAACAACAAACTCATGAATCACACAATAAAAGGGATCTATTCTGGAAATCAGGAAAGATTACAATCATGATTACTTCTTTCTCTACTCATTAACAGAGGATGAGATGGCTGGATGGCATCACTGACTCGATGGGCATGAGTTTGAGTAAACTCCGGGAGCTGCTGATGGACAGGGAGGCCTGGGTGCTGCGATTCATGGGGTCACAAAGAGTCGGACACGACTAAGAGACAGACCTGAACCTGAACCTGAACTCATTAACAAGAGTTAGAGACTTAATTTAAAAGGGCTAAAAGCACACATTTCACTGAATAAAAGCCTATTTTCATTTCAGAGAAAACATGAAAAAGAAACTACAACTTCAGAGTTTTTAATATTAATTATTCCTCGAAAATACAAGAGACACTTGAAATATACTTTAACCACTGGTGCTTTCAATAAAAGACAAATAAGACAAAAAGACTATGACATAATCACGCACCAACATAGTTACTGTTAGAGAAGATGAAAATCCCACTAAGAACAAAGCTCCTAAAATTGCAAAGGAGCCTAGAAAGCAACTTTGATTACATTTTCAAAACTATATTACTAAAAGAAAACCCAAACAAACGGTATTATAACTCTCAATAAACCATCCATAATTAAACTCGTAAAAGTGAAATACAGTCAAGGGATAAAAAACCATCCCAAGACTGGCTGGTTAGCTTGCCTATGGCAAAGAAAAGTACAAATGCTGTCAAGCTAGAATAGACATTAGGAAACGTAGTGATGAAGGAAGTGAACTAAGTACATCCAGAGTAGTACTTTTGTTTTTTTTCCGACCACACCACATGGCATACATGCCATGACCAGACCAGAGATTGAACCTGATCCCTCTGCATTGCAAGTGTGGAGTCTTAACCACTGGACTACCTGGGAAATCCTTTAGCAATATTTCTAATATATTATATCCTTGGGTCTTTATCTCTCTATACCTCAGTTTCTCCATCTGTAAAACAAAACATTATCATTATTCCTATATAGCAGTTGTTTTGAGAAATGAAAGAAGAATGAATGACATCTGTGCATTCTAAAGCATTATACAGATTAGAAAGCTTCCTTCACATAGTTACTTTTCAAAGTTCAAGTCAGTGAGCTAAAATGAAAGTTGAGCCAATTTTGTCAGTAATAATTATCTATTCAATAAAGTAAATAATCTAAAATAGAAGAATATACATTTCCCAGAGGTGTTAAAGTGAGAATGCTGCCAAATAATTATAACACTTCATGGAGATTTTACAAGTCCCAGTTTCAAATAAATTAAAATGTAAAAAAAAGGGTAACTTAAAATCTATGTAATAATTTATTTTAGATCATAATAAACTATTTGGAAGAGCTAATGAAACTAAGCATTAAGAACACCCGCAAACCATTAACTGGACAGGTATGAATGTGAATAAAATGTCCTTGTGTTTCACCAGATTAGGTATGAAACAGATACTCTGATAGGTATTGAAGACACATAAATTAAAACCCCTGGTAACTAAAGAAAAATTAACCATTCAAGAGTTTTCCAAAGAAATACATTCCAATTTTACCTATTAATAACAGAATACAAACCACAAAATAGGTAGTTAAGATTGGTTCTTTTAAAATATCTTTAACAAAAATTGATTTCAAGATCAATGAGAGATACTCGAAAAAGGTAAAGCTAATCGATCACTAGAAAATAACTGAAGCTATCCTGCAGAAGACTAAGTGGGAATTTTTTGACTGTATTCTGCCCACTTGTATTATCCTTAGTGAGTCAAGCGATAACACTGGGGCATTATCCTCAACCTGCCAAACTGTGCCACTTGTGCATGAAGACAAGGACAACAATTCTCAGATACACACGAGTTCAGAAAACACTTCTTTAGAATTACTACTTCACAACCACTGCTTCTCCCAATCTCTCTCTTGTTAATAATCATGATGTAGTTTAGTATAATTAATACTGAAGATATACCAAACATAAGAATGATTAGTTTACATTACCCAAGTGTTAATTCCTAACCACTCTTGATTTTCAACTGCTCTACTTAAGTACTTGATTAATAACCAACAGTCACTAATAACTGTATTTATCATCTTAATCACATTTATTTGGATCTCTGATATCACTCTTCTAAATTAATATGCCACAAAATTCCTAAAAGCTAATGCTAAATATATCCCCTGTTTCAGAAATAATTTAAGTAATGATAAACTTAGTAGTAGTAAGAAAAAGAATGGCTTGTCCAAAAAGTGAAATATTAACAGAAAGAACAATGGCAATGGTGGGGTCAGGGGAGCAGAAATGAGAGAAAAGAACTTCAAAGAACCTCTTTAAGAGCAAAGTACACATAATTGAGAGAACCCCTTATTAACAATCCTCTTGATTCCATTATATAACATCCAAGAGCTGAAAAAGAAACCTACACCACATTGAAAGCATGTACCGTGTAGAAAATACATGGTCTGGTTAATAATAATTATTGATTATCTAAATGACATCATTGACTATGAGAGAAAATTACTAGTTGATAGGGAGACTCACTTGTCAAAGCTATATTGGGCCATTCTAGCAATAAAAGTTGCTTCTCCAACCACCTGAGCCATTCTTCCAAGAGCTTCCCCTGCTGCACACCGTAGGATGGGGTTTGGATTGTCCAGAGCCCCCATAACCAGTGTCAGAGCAGATTTACGAACTTCTTCTGGTCCTAAAGTACTTTTGTTTTCAGCGAGGCCCTATGGTTATTTAAAAAAAAAAAAAAGTACTGCAATATTTGTAAATTAACATCTTCACACATTACTCTCTTCAGCCAGCTTTCCCATGCATATACTATGCTTAGAAGTAACACCTTTTAAATTGACAGCAATCATTTTCCTAAACATGATTTCAGAACATGATGTCTAACATAGTTACAGCTGAATCAACCCTAAAACCAACAATCCCTAGGAGTGTCTCTATCCAAAGACACATACTTAAAAGTTGTTTTTATAAAGGACGCTGTATTATTAAAACAACTGTTATTAACTGATTGAAATTTATCATTCCAACTTTAAGGAAGGAAAAAGGCCTGATGAACATGAAACTCTGATACGTTTATATAAAAATGCCAGAGATGATAATTATGTCACAAAGAGGATATCCAGTAGACACTTAAAGACAAAATGAGGTTAAGAATAATCAGTAACTGAATGTTGGTGGCTCAGATGGTAAAGAATCTGCCTGTAATGCTGGAGACCCAGGTTCGATCCCTGGGTCGAGAAGATCCCCTGGAGGAGGGCATGACAACCCACTCCATCATCCATGCCTGGAGAATCCCACGGACAGAGGAGCCTGGCAGGCTACAGACCATGGGGCTGCAAAGAGTCAGACAGGACTAAGTGACAAAGCATGAATGCTGACACAGTTTCTTCATCATACTAAAGGTAAATATCTCTGGTTCTAGTTATACTTACTGTCCTGGAACTTAAAATTATTTATTTACTTGAGGCCAAAAATCTAAGTCGCGCTGCCTAGGGAAAGTGTTAACTACAGCAGAGCCATTAGTGAACCTATGAATAAAAGCATACTCTACAGCAACATTACAGTCGTTCGCTAGCCTTCCAGCCGCTGAGGGGAACCATGACCACACCTCTCCTTTTTAAAAACTCAAGAGGTTGGTAGCTGACAGTCTCTAAAAAAGATGTATACTGATGATTATATAAATGGTACCAATCTTTTCTGCATAACCAATGTCTACATCTCTTTCCCTGAAGTTTACAAAATATGATTTAATTCATGCCCATTTAAACTCTTTACCTGTTATCCTTTTATTTCAAAACAGTAATATCTTAATATTACCATATAATAGATGAACAACTTAATATTACAGATTATATAATAGTCTAGGTATGCCTGAATTACTGTATTAAAGGTATTAGTTAAAATCTCAGTTTAGAACATTTGCTATGTTTTAAAAGTAAATACCTTTAGTGCGCTAAGTACAGCTGTAAAGATATTAAGCTGCACCGCCTGCTGGCGAACACCTTTGGCTTGTTTAACACATTCAGCAAAGTGATCCAACATCTGTAATCTATAATAGAATAAAGATTACATTAGCAATACTTTTTATTCAAATATGGCTCAAAAAACAGAGATAAGACAAGCTGTTTAACAAATAATGCCCCATGCTATCACGTCTCTATTTTCATTTCCTGGTCTAAACCAGCTCCCCACTCCTTTGAATTAATATACAGACATCCAACAACTGGTGCAACACAAGAGACTAACATTAAGTTTCAATCAGCAAAATGAGGTCATAATCTGAGTCATCTTCCGTGTGCAACAAAGTAGATGCTCAAGGTTTCTTGAACAGAATAACCATCATTAGCTGTGCATCTCTGTGGAAGATTTTTAGGTTGGAAATTTTTAAATGTTCACACATAGAAGAAAATAGTACTTCATGCCCTGTTTCTGGAAGCTAATTGGGAGTTGTTTTTTTTTTTGTTGTTGTTGTTGTTGTTTTTAAAGATTTAGCTTGGTCACTTTTGTTAAATGTGAAAAATCAGAGGTGAATTGGTTGTGTCACTCTTTCATTTTTTTAAAAATAAGACAGTTACCCCTCTTCCCCAAATCACAGCCATTTGAGACAATTCTGATTAAAGAGAATGAGGTCACATCAGATTCTTCTAAAAAGAAATGGAGTAGGGCAAAGGAATCTAGGGAAATTTCACTGGAAGGGTTTAAGCTCAATTATAAAAGGCCACAGGTCTCATGTCAAAGCATTCTTCAAAAACCCGACAGGAAGAAACCATCTCTCCTCCAGGAGGAACCCCAGTCAGAGGTACTTAGAGGACACCTATTCGGGCAGACATGCGCACACCTCTCTGACGCTGACCCACATCTACGGTGAGGAAGCAGGGCACTGTCCACATTGTTTTCAGGTACACACCTAAGAAGATGGACATGTGCTCCAACACGGCCATCAAACATCGTGTGCCTGTAACTGATCTCAAATGCGCAATTTAAAAAAAAAGGTTTCCCCTACTATAAAGTATTTCTTTTAATTTGAAAAATATCAAGAAAAAGTTACTACCTAGGAATAACCGCTGAAGATTTTTACATATTTTAAATTCAAAACTGCAACACTTCTTGTCTTTTACGTTCTTCATTTAACATTATATAATGAGCATTTGCTGATATCAAAACATTGTCTCCGTAAAACATACTTCAGCCTATCAACTTTCCATAATGTATTCACTGATTCCTCCATCCCTGGATATTTATGTTATATATTATATTTTTGATAGGATTATCTATTTTTACTTCATCTTGTTTCACAAAAGTGATTTAATAAAGTTAAGATAATCCTGGATTCTGGTTACAGCTTTCACAACTAGCTGTATAATTTTTGGCAAACCACAAGCTCTCAAACCTAGATTTCTTTAGTTTTAAAACAAGAACATTAAAATAGATGTTTCATAAGATTCTTTCACTTTTAAGTCTTTAACATTCATGTGGCAACCAAATGTTCTCGAAGATATCTGGATAAAGTAAAATTCCATATTCAAAATTTTCCCCTCAAGTTAAAAAAGAATTAACCAAGCAACCTACATATGTGAAGACATGCTATCTTTTCTATGCAAATACAACAATGTTCTTGAGGCATAGTTTTTAAAACTTGAACTATCTGTGAAGATTTTACATTAATTCATTTTTAGTCCTCCTTCTGGGAAAATCACTATAAGTATAAAGCACCTAAAAATTAAGTACAGTGTCTGTGGACATAAAGCATAGCAAACTAAAATGTTCCCATTAAAAAAAGAATCAGTTACTTTAGTGTTCCAATTTCCAGACTTTAACCATCTGACAAATGCTATATCAGGGAGTAGACTTCTCATTCATTTACTTTCTCAGTAACAAAATCAAAAGATATGGAAAATTGCTGTCCCTAATTAAAGATACAGGCAAACCTACTATGCCTTATAAACTGGCAAACAAATTACTACAATGAAAACTTTGTTGTATAAGACCTGGTCCATAATACAATAATTACTAGATGACAGAACATGGGCTCAAACCTGAAAAACAGTTTCAAATTATGTGGAGTCTGCATGTAATTTATGATATTATGTTTCTGAGACTATTGTGTGAACACTTTTGTTTGTTTTTGCATCCAGAATATATTTTGAAAACTTTTACACTGATACCAAAGACAGGCAGACACTATAAGAAAATTACAAATATGAATACTGACATAGAAATTGAAACAGATCACCAGCCCAGGTTGGGTGCATGAGACAAGTGCTCAGGTCTGGTGCACTGGGAAGACCCAGAGGGATGGGATGGGGAGGGAGGTGGGAGGGGGGATCGGGATGGGGAACACATGTAAATCCATGGCTGATTCATGTCAATGTATGGCAAAAACCACTACAATACTATAAAGTAATTAGCCTCCAACTAATAATAAATGAAAAAAAAAAAATAGCAGGATGAGGGACACGAGTACACTCATGGCTGATTCATGTCAATGTATGGCAAAAACCACTACAAAGTTGTAAAGTAATTAAACTTCAATAAAAATAAATAATTTTTTAAAATGTTATACACTTAAAAAAAAAAAAAAGAAAGGAATCTTGAACAAAATACGAGCAAACTAAAGCAGTACATTAAAAGGTTTATACACTGTGACCAAGTGGGATTTATTCCTGGAATTTGAGGATGGCTCAACAGACAAAAATTAATCAATGTGATATGTCACCTTAATAGAATGAAGGAAAAAAACCCCAAATCATCTCAATTGATGCAATGAAAAAATGACAAAATTCCACATCTTTTCACCATAAAAACACTTAATGAATGAGAAATAGAAGGAAACTCATTGGCTGGGAAAATCTACTACTTAAAAATAATTTAACTATGACTTTATACTAACCGGTGTTTAAAAGAAACATGAGGAAACACTACACCAAAAAGAGCCACGGAAGCATCAATGACTGAAACTCCAAGGGGAAGAGGCCCAGGCACAGCTTCTCCTGCAGGTATTCGTAAGTAAATGGAGGATGGATCATGCTCCAGAGCCCCACTCCCAGATGCACTGTTTGGCTGGAGCTGCAAAAAGGACATAAAAATCATTTGAAATCTATTTTAGGAAACTCACTTACCAAGTACTGGGCATGAAGAGTGAAACAGGAGGAGAGAGAAAAGGTAATAATAAAAAAACATAATGATTAACTATGGAAATGTTTAAACAGAGAAAGATGTACTTTGGCTATCTAAAAAAGTCACAACAATTAAATTTTATATTTAAAAAAATATAATTAAAAAAAAATCTTGTTCATTCTAAAACATTTTTACCACCTTAAAATGTGTAAGCAAAATAACATCAGGAATAACTTAAACCCACAAAAAAAGTTTCTTAAAGTGACTTTTAGAAACTTTTTAAAAGTACATATGAAATAATGTATTCAGTGGGCAAAAAAGGTTCTAAATCTTCAGTCTACTAAATTTTATTCCTTTCTAATCTGTCACAAAATAAATTAAACCAAAACAGAACACCAACAATCAAAAAGCTAGTCAAAACTGATCTTTGCAAAAGCAACCACAGGATAGCTAAATACACAGACTATTAAATAAAAACAATTCACCCAATTCTAACTATTGCTGCTTACCTTTTCTCCTTATTTATCCATCACTAAGAAGTTATTTTTAAATGTCTTAAGAAAGATAAATGAAAAGTCAACCTTAGTCTATAATATTTTCTTTTTAAATGACAATGTATACTAGTACCATTGTTTATCAATCAAGCTAGTAATCATTTCAATGTATAGTTTACTACCTGGTCTTCAATTGATTTATGATCAGTTTCTTGAAGCCAGGACCCAAGAAGAACACTATCATCATAGTGGCAGAGGGATCTGAGGAGGGAAGTAGTTGTGTTGGCTGAGTTGTCAGTCAAAGTGAATTCTGCTACCAGTTCTCTAAGAAGTGCGTTGAAAGAGCCTAAAAAACAGAACTTCAGATCAGATAAAAAATAATACTTTTTAAGATGACAATCATTACCTAAAAAGAGCAGCAATATGTTCAACAGAAGTAAAATAATTAAATCCCCGTTTCCTTTTTTGAAAAATCAGTATTAAATATTTCATTGCTGGTTTTAATACACAATAATGGCACTTCTTCATTACTGTATTGTGCCTTTTAGTCCAAATTATTTAAATAAAAAACTTAAATTCAGGAAAAATTCTTTATTTTAATATGTTAAATATGACTATTATTTACTATTAATTACTCAATGATGTGCAAACACTGAACCAGAGCATATCAAAATTCTCAGGCATGGTTGCACTGGGATATTAACATTTTATATGACATTTAACTTCTGCAAAAGTACATTAATATTCTCCCTCCAGATGATATTGGCTGTATCATAACAGTTAGGATAGTCATCAAAAGCATAGACTCTGAATATGAACCAGCTGGGTTTGAATCCAAGCTTGCTACTACCTCCCAGACCTGTGCAAGCTCCACAACCTCTAGGTATTCAAGATTCTTCACCTTTAAACAAAGCTCTATTTTAGCCTTATAAGGTTTGTGGTTAGAGTCAGAGATACCAACTTATAAAGGGCTTAGGATGGGACCTGGAACACAGCAGTACTCAACAAGTGTCAGCTACTCAGTACGATGAAAAGGAAATGGTGGCCTTCCTTTGCATAGTCAGTGGGGTAGCCAGGGTCAGAACTCTATGATATTGTGAAGAACTGGAAAGGCATGATGAAGAATTTTTATTAAACATCCATATATTTTACTTACCTTCGTAAGTTTTTGGAGGTAACAACGCCAAGATATCATAAAGCCTTAAACGGACCATGGCGGCACTAGCTTTCAGATGAGCTCCATGGGCTTTAATTACAGAGGGAATGCTAAAATGTCAAACGTATGATTCATATCAGCTTATTAGAATGAGCAGTACTTACAAACATTCTTTTCCAGTCACATCAATGTGATATCCAGATGATACCCAGATGATATCAATGTACCGTCAAAGTGCACTGGTAAGTATTACATTTTTGTTTATTTTGTGACTTTTACTGTGAGTAACAGAAACACTATAAAACACAACTTTATTTCAATCTATATCACTATAATTTTTAAAGTCATTTTACATAAAGTTTAGTACATTTTCTATATGACAGTATAGGGAATTACAAAACATGGCAATTTTTAAATATATAAAATTGGATGTTAATGTGTTCTAATTGCCTACTTACTGTGACATCATAGTCATGGCACATTCAATAGGGGTCATCAATTTTCTAATCACATCTTCAGTTAGGAGTTCAGGACAGTGTGCAACAAAACTCCTCATTGCTAGATAAAAATTTTAAAAAGACTGATTTGAAACAGCTTTTGTGAAGATGAACAATTTATAAAGTTATATAAAGGTTCCTAAAATTTTTAATTATTACAAAACATCACGTTCTAAAACAAGGTCAAACCAAAAGAAGAACCAACTGCAATGACAGAGAAAACTCATTAGAAAAGGCTAGAAGAGTGGCCACAGAAACAGAGGAAGGGAAGATGTCTGTTAAGATTTCCGTGAGCGAGAATTCAGAGGTCTATGACCCCATGTGAATTCAGATGACTGAAAAAGAAAGCTGTTTCAGAAGAGAACCAGGAATGGACATAATGTCCCAGTGAGCAGAAGTATCTTTGTTGGCTCTTTAGCAGCAGAGCTACCATCTCTCAGATATATGGGAACAAAACCGACACTCTGCCCTGCCGTGTTTGTGGCTAAGTGCACCTTCCGTCTCCCACAGTTTGGAAAAAAGAAGTACTTTTCACCTTCAAATAAAATAAAAAAACAATAAAGGATAGTCACTCAGTGTAATTTTAGTTTTCAAATAAAACAAAATTGGAGCCTTTCCTATATGTTGCTGACTCCCAAACAAAAACAACTTTATTTCACACTTCTTGAAAATGCTGATATCTAAAAAATGTATCAACTTTCTGATAGGAGAAAACAGCTATTTGTCTGAAAAGACTAACTGTAAACTCAGTAAATCTGGTAATCCTGAGCTTCTTTTTCCTTTAAACAAGCACTGGGCTGTTTTACATGATGACTCGGTGCTTCTTCAGGGGGAGGACTGCAGTCACGGGGATTAAGAGGTCTAGTTCTAGCTCCTGTCTGATCACAAACTCTAACCTCCTTTTCAAAGACTTGACTTCATTTTTATTACAAAATTAGTAAACGCGTAGAGATTATTTACAAAGTTTTTTTCTAAATGTAAAAGTCTACCAACTCATCATTATATATCAAAATAAAAAACTGAAGCAATGATTTACCTTCACTTCACAAATATTTTAGTAAGAAAATAATATTGTGAAAGTGCAATCCCTTCAGTTCTTACCACATAAAGCTCCAGCACGACCTTCCAATGTTACCTGCCAGGTAAAAGAATCGCCTCGGGCCTTCTCAGCCTCCAATTCCTTTAAAGAACGAGGGAAAACGTTTCGCCACAATAACAACATCTTGGGTAGATGGTAACGAACAACAGACGGTCCTAATCAAGAAAATGGGAATACAAAACCATACTATATATAACACTACAAAAATAAAGTCATAGAAAAGAGTCCCAAATAAGCTTTAACAATAATTCTTATCTCACTCTATCTTAATCTCTAATATTAACATTTTCAAAATGTTTTTTTATTCTGTAAGTAAAATATATTATCTATTGAGGCATAGTAAAATTCATCTAGAAACTAACAATATTTATTATAAATAAATAAAACATAAAATAAAATAAATAAAATAAATCCTCAAAATGTCATCTAAAAGAAATTACTCAAATATATTTAGAAAGACAGATTACATTCTATCAACAATAAAGTGTATCTGGGACATATTTCATGATGTCTTTTCGAAAAACATATATATATATAAACATATACACCCGTTCCTAAACACATACATATAAATATTTACTACTCCATTTTAAGGGCAATTTATATGGTTAATTTTCATGGAGTAGTATATTTAGAAGTAGGAACCTATATTTACACTACTAAGGAATTCATTTAATATACCACCTAACATACTTAACATGATGTTCTGGAAAAAAGTTACCACTGATTATTTTTTTAGAAAACCAGGTCAAGGTTCAATTTTCAAAAGGTAGATGAATCAAGCAGTTAGCAACTTTGCAGTGAGTACACACACACATACTTATTATAGTAGAAGCCAAAAACGTGAAGTAAATAGTGGACACACCTTATTACAATGATAACATATTGATACCATATATTATCACAATGATAGCATGTACTTCTGTTCTATACTTCTAAGTAATGCTAAACTTTACTTGCATCTCAGATTTGTCATAACACTTAGGACAGTGAAGTGCATAAGAATAACCCCACGGATGTAATGCCAATGAGAGATATTGTTTACTGTGTGACTTTAGCATCCTACTAAAATCACTTTAGTCTTCATTTTGGGCATGGAATATGTCTCTTTTAATAGGCTAATCAGTTAGACCATGGCTATTCTGATGGTAAAGGTGAAACTTGGCTCAGTTGGTAAAGAATCCATCTGCAATGTGGGAGCCCTGAGTTCAATCCCTGGGTTGGGAAGTTCCCCTGGAGAAGAGAAAGGATACCCACTCCAGTATTATGTCCTGGAGAATTCCATGGAATATACAGTCCATGGGGTCTCGCAATGAGTCAAACACAACAGAATGACTTTCGCATTCTCATTAAGTGTACATAAACAGAAATTACCGAAAAATCTCATACCAAACGATGAGAAAAGCATCATTATCATTTTAGAGCCTCATTCAAAGTCTAGAATGTGAAGTTGAATACTTTTATTTATTTATTTTTTGAAGTTGAATACTTTTAAGCTTTCTTTACAGTCTACTGACAGTTACAGAATAAGACAAAATCATACTCAATTATAGTTGTACCTAAAGTCATAAGTGCTCCAAGTAAGAGCCATCCAGCTTGGGTCCGCTGTAAAGACAGCCTGCTATTTTGGGCAGCAGTTCGTAAGAGATCTTCAGCAATACTAACAACCATCTGCAAGAAAGGTTTAGAACTGGATTTTAATTTAAACAACTTAACAAGATCAAATAAGAAAGTACATAGCTAGTATACATTTATTAAAAAATAATTTGTCTTTTTTTTGTTGTTGCTGTTAACATGCTTTTAAAGAGGCAACATCAATACCTCATCAATCCCAATTGCATTGCTGACTCAGAGAAGACCCAGAACAGCACAGTGGTTAAGAATATGACTTCCAGAGCCAAGATGCCTGAGTTCACATCCCAGCTTTGTCATTTCCTAGCTTTTTGACCTAGAATAACTTCATCTCTATGCTTCATTGCTAAAACAGGAATAACAGGAGAACCAACGTCACTCACGTGTGGACTAACTAAGTTAATACAGGAAAGCACTCAGAATGGTGCTGATCCAGGTAATCACTTGATAAATGCTATTAGTAGTCATACTGTAAACCTACACCTAAAGATTTGTTCAACTCATATTATAAATTTGCCATTAAGCTAATCTTAAGGTGCTTACAGTCTCAGAGAAGACATAGGAAAAAAGGGAAGTGACAAGCAGCATACAATCAAATGAAGAATAATAGTACAATGCAGTGGTCAGCAAAGAGAAAGGCTACCACAGACTGAGTAGCTTTGAAGGTATTTCATGGAAGAGATGAACTTGAATTGGGCTTCTAAGCAAAGCAGCTAAGTTTGGTGCAGGTGAACAAGAAGAGGGATGAGATTCCAATGTAAGACGTTAGCATAAGCAAAGACATGGCGGCTGAGAAAAAGCTTGGCAAGAAAGCAATGTGGCTAGTCTGACTAGCGCAATGGGAAACTAGAATGAAAGGGCAGAATGCTCATTATGAAGATACCAGTTTAGCAGACAGAGACGATTGTATTTTATTCTCTGATCCTGGGTAGTCTCTCAGCGTCTTTGAGCATATATAAAATATGCAATAAAAAATAGGGAAAAGATGGGCGAAAAAGACTCCAAAGAAGGAAAATCAGTAGAAGACAAGCATATGGGAGATGGAAGCCCAGGTCTGAGTAGTAGCTATCGAAGTCACAGAAATGAATGGACATGGGCTGAGTAACCCAGAAAAAAAAATTTTTTTTTCTTTCTTTACAGTCTACTGACAGTTACAGAATAAGACAAAATCATACTCAATTATAGTTGTACCTAAAGTCATAAGTGCTCCAAGTAAGAGCCATCCAGCTTGGGTCCGCTGTAAAGACAGCCTGCTATTTTGGGCAGCAGTTCGTAAGAGATCTTCAGCAATACTAACAACCATCTGCAAGAAAGGTTTAGAACTGGATTTTAATTTAAACAACTTAAAAAGATCAAATAAGAAAGTACATAACTAGTATACATTTATTAAAAAAGAATTTGTCTTTTTTTTGTTGTTGCTGTTAACATGCTTTTAAAGAGGCAACATCAATACCTCATCAATCCCAATTGTATTGCTGACTCAGAGAAGACCCAGAACAGCACAGTGGTTAAGAATATGACTTCCAGAGCCAAGATGCCTGAGTTCACATCCCAGCTTTGTCATTTCCTAGCTTTTTGACCTAGAATAACTTCATCTCTATGCCTCATTGCTAAAACAGGAATAACAGGAGAACCAACGTCACTCACGTGTGGATTAACGAAGTTAATACAGGAAAGCACTCAGAATGGTGCTGATCCAGGTAATCACTTGATAAATGCTATTAGTAGTCATACTGTAAACCTACACCTAAAGATTTGTTCAACTCATATTATAAATTTGCCATTAAGCTAATCTTAAGGTGCTTACAGTCTCAGAGAAGACATAGGAAAAAAGGGAAGTGACAAGCAGCATACAATCAAATGAAGAATAATAGTACAATGCAGTGGTCAGCAAAGAGAAAGGCTACCACAGACTGAGTAGCTTTGAAGGTATTTCATGGAAGAGATGAACTTGAATTGGGCTTCTAAGCAAAGCAGCTAAGTTTGGTGCAGGTGAACAAGAAGAGGGATGAGATTCCAATGTAAGACGTTAGCATAAGCAAAGACATGGCGGCTGAGAAAAAGCTTGGCAAGAAAGCAATGTGGCTAGTCTGACTAGCGCAATGGGAAACTAGAATGAAAGGGCAGAATGCTCATTATGAAGATACCAGTTTAGCAGACAGAGACGATTGTATTTTATTCTCTGATCCTGGGTAGTCTCTCAGCGTCTTTGAGCATATATAAAATATGCAATAAAAAATAGGGAAAAGATGGGCGAAAAAGACTCCAAAGAAGGAAAATCAGTAGAAGACAAGCATATGGGAGATGGAAGCCCAGGTCTGAGTAGTAGCTATCGAAGTCACAGAAATGAATGGACATGGGCTGAGTAACCCAGAAAAAAAAATTTTTTTTAATTTAGCCCAATAATACTTTTATAAACACTCAATATTCCTAAGAAGAAAATCTTCATAGTAGTATATGGTATAGCAGAAAGAAAGGCAAAAAAAAGGTAACTGATTCATGAGAGCTATTCAACTTTTATTAAGTATTACCAAAATGTTAACTATGGCAACAGCACATTCTCTTGACATTTTGAATATAGCAATGTGAATTATATTTCTAAAACTCCAAAGAAAAGCTCTGATTTCCAAAGAATTGGTATAAGGTTTTTTTAATATCTCTCTAAAATAAATAAATCATAAAATGATACTATACCCAGACAAAACCTATTATTCCTATAACAGAAGTAAATGTCAAATTTTAATTAGGGTCTGTCAACTCCATAGGGGCTTCCCTGGTAGCTCAGTTGGTAAAGAATCCACCTGCAATGCAGAGGGCCCCAGTTCAATTCCTGGTCGGGAAGATCCCCTGGAGAAGGTATAGGCTACCCACTCCAGTATTCAGGGTGGTGGCTCAGACAGTAAAGAATCTGCCTGCAATGTGGGAGACCAGGGTTTGATCCCTGGGTTGAGAAGATCCTCTGGAGAAGGGCATGGCAATCCACTCTAGTATCCTTGCCTGGAGAATCCCCATGGACAGAAGAGCCTGGTGGGCTACAGTCCATGGGTCACAAAGAGTCAGACACGACTGAGCGACTAAGTACAGTACAGCACGGCGTAACTCCATATAAACAGAGCACTATGCGACTTATTATCACAGGAAAACTGTTTTTGTTTGATCACCCAGTTCGACATCAAACACAGCAGGTATTCCAATGAAGACTAAATAAAGCCTATGGGATAGCACTTAAAATTCTAGGATCTTTGTCATACCTTTCCCTTGGCATGAGGAATGCCCAAAGGACACTGATGAACTCCACCTAACAAAGCAGCCATTGCAAAACTGTATCCACTAACAGCTTCTGGCGAAGTTTTTAAGTTGTTGAGCCGCTCTGCACATCTGTCTAGAAAGGGCGTCAACTGGAAAGGTAACGCCACAGCCACACAGCGCAAACACCAGGCAGCAGCGAGTCGAGCTGCCATGCTTGGATGGAGAAGCACTGACGTCACAGTCTCCAAAAGGCCTAAAAAATACTCAAAATTACTCTTTAATGAGTCAGACAGTTTAATGAGTTAAAAGACTATGTATAACACCATCATTAATACTGTGTCACAATTTTACACAGATACTTTCAGAACTGGTGCCAAGAAACACACACATCAACTCATAAACAGGTAAGTACTTTAAAGGAAAGCTTTCTACGAAGAACACAGTACAATTATATCCAATGAATTATAAAATGCTGATGTATTCAATAATGTATAGAAACAAAACTACCATGACTGTTTCTGTCTCTCAAAGCATTATTTTAATATTTAATTCAAGATTCACTACCACAGTGAATCCTAAATAAAATCTGACTTTTAACGGATGATTTAAACTGCTAATTACCATGTTAAGCAAACAACTGGGAGTTCATCAATCACACCTGTGACTTTTAAAAATATTGAAAAAATATTCCAGCCTATAAGTGAACAGCATACCTATAGATGCTTCCTGAATAAGAGGGGATGCAGTGGCATTCAGGCTCTGCACCAGACTTCCGAGCTCCTGCAGGGCACAGACCATCACATGCTGGCTTGCTGCAATGTCTGCTGCTCCAGACTTGTTCTCCCCACTAGTGTCATTCACTACCGCTTCTGGAAACACAAAATCAGATGTGGAATGTGGGTGAATTAAACCGTGATATAATTTTTTGATCTATACAATTTTATGTTTTAAAATTATACAAGCTGAATGCCTGACTGTTAAGAACTCTGTTTGTATCTCTAATAATTAGGGAAACACAAATCAAAATTAAAATGACAAAAAATCAATGACGCCCCTAGTACACATTCAGTAAATAGTAGGAGCTATTATTGTTACTTTATCATTATCACCGCTATTTTAAGAGCTGCAATGTGTTGGTAGCATCACTGTCAAATTACTGACCAGAAAGAGTATCTATAAAGAGAATGACTTTAGAATTTCTTACTGGGATGTTCCTCAAAATTTCCACTAATGCTGTTGACCCTTTCTTCCATCTTTTAGCTTCCAATAGAATTGATATGTATTGAATCATGAAACAACTAAAAACTTCTTCTCAAATTACTAATTAAGACTATATCCTGGCCCATAAATTCCAGATACATAGCACTGTGTTTAATTCTTTTACCATTTTAAAAATGAAATGACTAATCTATGACCTTAAGATCCTTAAATGACAGTAACAAACTTTCTTATCTTACTTACATTCATTATGAATTAACAGGCTATAAAATATAGAATAATAGGAAATAACAGATTAATACATTATGGACTAAAATTAAACACCTCTTTTCTCCTTAGATACTTCTGGACTTAGAAATGCATGGACTCTCTCTTTTGGTTACTAAATTAGAAGTTCCCTGAACAGGTGTTATCTGTGTGACTTGCTATATTTTACTCCCACCATTTGGCACAGTGTTTTTGGCACTCAAACATTTCTTCAATCAACAAACAAATATCTTTAAAGTTGTGAATCTAGGACAGATTACTACTTTAACATATCTAACAATATCTCATTAATTTGAACATCTTTTAATTCCTTTCAGTTTGTCCATTTAAAATATGATTGGCCTAGTAAGCTACTAACTATAACCAAAAAATCCACTTTCATTAATTTTTTAAGAATTTGTTAATTTTCTAAATATAAAGTCCTGGGTATCATACAGTCATTAAATTCTTATTTCTAAAGACATCTGTTAGGCAATATAATTTTCTTGATTAATGTATATTCGCAACAGTGGTAAAATAAACTGTCTCATAGAATTTATATTTTACCTTGCATTAGTTCCCTAATTGTATTATAAGCACCATGAAAACAGTAGCTGTATCCTACTCATTGTTCAAAACCTTAATTACTGCTTTGCAATCTCAAATACTCAATAACTATTTGTTAATCTGAAAAAGTTATAAAATTGACACTGCCTAGGAGAGGATTTCTTTTAATTATGAATTACTGAGGCTTCACAGTATACTCTGTAATGGGTTAAAAACCACTTGTAACTGTTTTTAAGTCATCATATCAAGCCTAATAAGGGTGGGGAAAAGAACATGTATTTATAAAACAACAGGCTCCAAGAAGAAAAACCTTAATAGGTTATTCCTCAAAGATTCCTCAATATGCTACTGCATACCAGGAGAGCTATAACATCAGTAAAGGTACTAGAAATAAAACAGAAAAAACCTAATCTTACAAACACACTACCCAAATATTAAACAACTCCAATTTATTGTAATTATATGTTGTTTTAATACCAAATAAGAGTACACAATAAAAATGACTATTAAAACACAGTCCAGGGACTTCCCTGGTGGGCCAATGATTAAGACCCCATGCTTCTAATGCTTGGGGTGCAGGTTCAATCCCTGATTGGGAAATTAAAATCCCACATGCTGCATGGAGTGGTAGAACAAAAGAAGAAAAAAAAAAAACCACATTCCAGTAATAGATATGAACTAATCAGATCTATCAGTATTTATTAAGGATAGCAATAAAGAACTAAATGACTTAAATAATCAACACCACATACCATGACATCAATTCTTACCTACTGCTTTCATTTGTTTTCCAATCGCCTGGCATATTTCTTTGGCAGCTGCAATCTGGGCTTTTTCACCTAGCAAACTGCCCACGGTAGCTCTTAGGATAAAGGAGACACATCGCCTGGAATACACAGCTTCCACATGTGTTTGTGTTGCCCGAGGATGGGAAACCAGATCAAGTACATGAGACAAGAATGTAGCAAAGCTACGTTCCAACCACTGGCCACCCAATGTTGTTACAAAAACAACATATGCCTGTAAATAGATTAAGATACAACTTCAGGTAAATTTATACATACGAACTGAAATTATAGATAACAACTACATAAATGATGACAACATGCAAAATAACTTATCTTTGAGATTACAACTGAGAAAATTTAAAACTTGAGACCTTTTTAGTACTTGTAGCATAGGATTTACTGGTTGAAGTATCTTAAACTAAACACATTTCTTGGGATAATAGCTTCATGAAGAACAGAGAGAGTGGTGTGAGTGGGAAGAAAAGGTGAAATCACCCTGGGGATGAAGATGATGGAGGTGATGTATGTGTGTCAGTGTGTGTACACAGTCGTGGCCAACTCTCTGCGACCCCATGGACTGTAGCTCATCAGGCTCCTCTGTCCATAGGATTTTCCCAGCAAGAATACTGCAGTGGGTTGCCATTTCCTGCTCCAAGGGATCTTCCCAACCCAGGGATCAAACCCATGTCTCTTGCAACTCCTGCATTGACAGGTGGATTCTTTACTACCGAGCTACCTGGGAAGCTCTGATGAATATGATACAGTAATAAGCCCCAACATGCTAAATAAATGCTGACCTAGAACTATAAAACATTTGCTTATGACTATTATATTGAAATGGTTTACTTCTATTTTACATTTGTTTCTGGAACAAGGTATAATTGGGTGATTTTGACTAAGATCACAAAAAAATCATTTCATTTTAATGTGTGTGTGCTCAGTTATGTCCAACTCTTTGTATGAGGTGTTAACTATTATTATTATATTATTAACTGCAATATCTTATTTGGTATTAATTATCTGAAATTATCTCACATAAGGTTTAACTTTATAAGCACATTGGTGATTAAGCAATGATGATAAATCCAAAATACCAACAAATATTTTTAGTTACAAGTATTGTTGAAAAACATTAAAATTTAAATTCCTCAAGCTACTTGAAATAAAATTTCAGTTAAAACTAAACTATTCTACATCTGATTTTCTGCCAAGTATAAAATATGGGAAAATTTTGTTATAGATAGATAGATGTAGCAGATGTAGGTTTATTCACACATCATTAAGTATCTAACTTTCCATGTAAGCATGCAATTTACAATTTGAATGTAATATTGATTTAGTAAGAGAAATGCTCTGAAAGACATTTTTTAATTATTAAATTTTAGATAGCATTAAAAATCTCTGTATGTGCTATTACTTAGTACAAGTCTTCGATGAAATTTCACAAGTGATATGAACACAATTCTTTTATACATATATATTACAAACCTGTGTAACTCCAACTCTCACTTCACGATTAACAGAACCTCCAACTTTTAACATTTCTCCACCACTCTTTAAGAAACCTGACCCTCCACGCAGAAATCCTGTGGCCATGAGTTCTAAGACTTCATCAAAGGTTGCTCGCTTCACATTCTGGCGCATTACTTTCAGGAAAAAAAAGCAAAATTTATAAAGCAAATATATTTTGCTATTATTTAAATGTTTTCTAATAATCTAGCTTTAAAACTCAAGCAATTATTTTTAAGGGTATTTAAACTACTACAAAGGAGACAGAGTCATTTATTTTCTTATAATCTTACAATTTACAAAGTATTTGTAAAAATAAATTTAATTTTGAAGCAAAAAACACTAAAAAAAAAAAGGGAGGCACTACAAATTAAAAACAATTCAATAAATCTATGCCCAAATCATCTAACTCTCATGCTAACTCTCTATGAGGAACACAACAGGGACAAAGCACATCCACAGCAGGTAATGCTAAATGATCACAGCCCTCACTCCCAGTTGAGATGGACACAATGAAACTTTGTCAAGACTGTGCTTTCTGTACAACAGCTGACTTATGGGTTGAAATGTCACTGGACTGCAACCAACTTGCTACCCCTGGTAAAGAGCTGTCCTACTTCATAAAGTCCTTTCATATATAGTAGCAAATACAATCCTCACAAAAATTCTGCAGAAGAGGCATAAAGCTCATGATTAGGTACTCGGACTTTAGAATTTGATGCCTGGGTTTTGATTTCACTTAACAGAACACTCATTACACCGCAAATGATACCATCTCTCTAAGCCTCAATTTCCTTGTTCATAAAATGAGAATAACAGCAGTACTCAGGATTAAAAGGGCTTTGAGAGGATTAAATAAAATAACTGCGATAATCCAGTGCCTTATACACAGTTAGCACTTAATGAATGTTACCTATCATCATTATCATTGTTATCTAATTCAAAGATTGAAATAGTTATCATTAAAGATGAAAAGACCAAAGCTCAAACGGTTTCACAGCAAATAAACAGAAGAGCTAGGACTTGAACCTATAATCTGAGTCTTTTTCTACAATACAGAGAAGGACTAGGTGTGGGGACAACAGCAGAGCTGGGTTCACTCAACATCTACTCAGAGTTGTCCCTGAAGTATCTCTACGGAACCATGAGGCACAGCAGAAATAACTGGGGAAATCAACACTGCCTCCGATTCTGCTTATGAGAACGCTCAAGAAAAGAAAAATAACACTTTGCTATGAATGGAGATCTACTCTGCCAGATTCCAGTCCCTGAACATTTGGGTGGATACAAAACCATTCCGTAAATCTTATTTGCCTAAATGTCCAACATACTTGCTACATGTAATTTTGTTCAGTATTACCATAAAAAATGTCCTGACCACATCAAGGAAAAAGCCATGTGGGAACTCCTCTATTTTATGAAAATGTAGACAAGCATATTTAACAATTTAAACTCTTTAAATTGACTTGCCTAGAAGTAGTAAGTCATCTAGAAGGAAGCATTCCATATATCTTCAAATACTTGTTACAGTCTAGATTGGGGGCTGGAAAATGATACCTGTTGCTTGTTTTGGCATCAGTGCTGTGGCCATGACTGTTCCTAAGAGTTTAGACACTGCCACTCGCACCCCATAGTTAGAGTTTTCCAAAGCCTTAAAGCAGAGAGTGGCTATATTTTCCAGTTCAGCAGTCCACATGAACACAGCTTCATTCTGTAGTTCTAGGAGACACTGGAATTTTTAAAATAATAATAAATGAATTAGAACTTCTGCTTCCAGAGACAAAGGTAACAAAAACCAGAATTATTCTCTCTTCTGAAATAACAACAACAAAACATGGACAAAATACATGAAACAACAGTTTTGAAGACACTGGACATCAGGCAATGAAGAATGCTAATCCTTAAGAGATAAAAAACACAAGTTGAACCCTACAGTTGTCCCAGCATACTCCCTTGAGAGAGTTTCCAGCAGTTAGGAGGAAGTATATAACCCTAAAGTCCTGTGTTAGAAAGAAGAGTCTCAAATCAATAATCTCAGCCTCTAACTAAGAAACTAGATGACATACAGCAAATTCAATATAAAGTAAGCAGGAAAATAGGAAACAATACAGTTAAGGGAGGAAATCAATCAACCAGAAAACTGAAAAGCAGAAATGAAACCCAAAGCTGCTTCTTTGAAACAACTAACACATCTGATAAATATCTAGCCAGACAGATGAGAAAAAAGAAAAAAAGACACAGATTATCAAAATTAGGAATGAGGAAGTCATACAACTGCAGATTCAATATATATTAAAAGGACAACATATTTGACAACTTAGATGGAACAGACAACTCACTCGAGAAGAAACAGCTAACCCAAACAGCCCAATATCTATTTTAAAAACTGAATTTGTAGTTTAAAACCTTTCCCCAAAGAAAATTGGAGACCCAGAGAGTTGTGCTGATGAATTCAACCAAATGTTTAAGTAAGAAATAATACCAATCTTATATAAACTCTTTCAGAAAATTGAAGAGAAGGGTATACTTCCCAACTCAACATACTGACCCTGATATTGAAATCTGACAAAGACACTACAAGAGAAGAAAACTACATACCAATATCTCCCATGTACATAGAGGCAAAACTTGTACCTAAACTTTTAACAACTCTAATCCAACAACATATAAAATGGATAATATATCATGACCCATCAGGGTTTATCCTAGGAATGAAAGATTGATTAAAATTCTAAAATTAATCAGTGTAATTCATTAGCAAGTTGGAAAAAATTTCATATTATTCATCTCATTATATGCTAAAGAAACATTTAACAGATTGTAAGCAAAACTGGGGAAAACTGAACAACATCAGTGGATTGTGTCAACATCACTACTGTATTATGCTGTTTGCAATGCTGTATGCTTTTTCAAGATATTACCATTAGGGGGAACTGGGTGTAAGTTTATAAAAATCTCTCTATATTATTTCTTACAACTGCATGAAAACCTGCATACTATGTGCTTAGTTACTCAGTCATGTCGGACTCTTTGTGACCCTGTGGATTATAGCCACTAGGCTCCTTTGTCCATGGGATTATCCAGGCAAGAATACTTAAGTGGGCTGCCATTTCCTCCTCCAGGGGATCTTCTTCACTCAGGGATCAAACTTGTGTCTCCTGCACTGGCAGACAGTTTCCTTACCAATAAGCCACTTGGGAAGCCCCTGCATGTACATCTACAATTATCTTACAATTATCCTAAAATAAAAAATTTAGTTAGAAAACAGAAAGAACACTAGAAATCAAATTAAAAAAAAAATGCATTTGAAAAAATCTAAAATACATTCTTGACAAAAACTTCTTGGAAGGCTAGGAATATAAGGGTATTTCCTCGACTTGGTAAAGGTCATCAAAGAAAACTGGCAGTTAACATCATACTTAACAGTGAAGGACTGAATATTTTCCCTTTAAGGATCAAGAACAAGAAAAGAATGTTGGCTTTCATGTTTTCTACTCAACATAGGATTGAAGGATCTATTCAGGAAGTGCAGTAAGAAAGAAAAATAAATAAAAGGCATCCAGAGTAGAAAAGTAGAACTGTCTCTATTCATAGACAACATGATTGTCCATATAGAACACCTGACAGAATCTATTTAAAAAGCTGACATAGGGACTTCCCTGGTGGTCCAGTGGCTAAGACTCTGTACTTCCAAAGCAGGGGGCCTGGGTTTGATCCCTGATCAGGGAACTAGATCCCACATGCCACAACTATAATCTGACACAGCCAAATAAAGAAAACATTAAAAAAAAAAAAGCTGACATAGAATCAGTAACAGTTTACGAAGGTTGGTGGATACAAGATCAATGTACAAAACAACTGTATTTCTCTATGTCAGTAATGAGCAATTAGAAATTAAAAAGTTTTTTTCATCAATACTATTTAAAATAGCATAAAAATATGAAATAGTTAACAATAAATCTGACAGAAGATATGCAAGGTCTCTGCATCTGAAAACCACAAAATGCTGCTAAGAGTGATCAAAGAAGACCTAAATGAGTGAGAGCTAGATATCATATTTATGAGTTGGACTTAATGATAAGTTGTCAACTCTCCCCAAACTGATTTATAGACTTGGTACAACCTGAATAAAAATTCCAGCATGCAATTTTTGTAGAAATTGATGAGCTAAAATTTATATGGAAATGCAAAGAACTGAAAATACCCAAAACTATTTTGAAAAGGACAGTGTTGAAGGGCTGACACTATTTGATTTTAAGGCATATAAAGTTGAGCTTCCCTGATAGCTCAGTTGGTAAAGAATCCGCCTGCAATGCAAAAGACCCCGGTTTGCTTCCTGGGTTGGGAAGATCTGTTGGAGAAAGGATAGATTACCCACTCCAGTATTCTTGGGCTTCCCTGTGGCTCAGCTGGTGAAGAATTTGCCCGCAATGCGGGAGACCTGGGTTCGATCCCTGGGTTGGGAAGATCCCCTGGTGAAGGGAAAGGCTACCCAGTCCAATATTCCGGCCTGGAGAATTCCATGGACCGTACAGTCCATGGGGTCACAGAGTTGGAAACGACTGAGCGACTTTCACTTTCACCTTCAAAGCTACAGTAATCAAGAAAGGTACGTCAAGACAGCTGAATAGTTCAATGAAACTATTCAGAGATTCCAAAAACAGACCCACAAGTATATAGACAACTTATTTTCAACAAAGGTGAAAAGGCAATTTAGTGAAGAAAAGATAGCCTTTTCAACATGGCACTAGAACGAGTAAATATTCATGTGCAAAACAAAACAAAAAATCTTTCACTCATACCTTGCACTATATACAAAAATTAACTCAAAATGGATCACATACCCAAGTGTAAAATTATAAAACTCATTCGGAAAGAAACATAGGAGAAAGCCTGGGCTAGGAGAAGTTTCCTCAGGTACAGTGCTGTGCTGTGCCTGGCTGCTCGGTCGTGTCCGACTCTTTGCTGCTGCATGGACTGCAGCCTGCCGGACTCCCTGGACTGGAGCCCACCAGGCTCCTCTGTCCGTGGGGATTCTCCTGGCAAGCATACTGGTGTGGGTTGCCATGCCCTCCTCCAGGGGATCTTCCCAACCCAGGGATCAAACCCAGGCCTCCCCAAGTGCAGGCGGATTCTTCACCGCCTGAGCCACCAGGGAAGGTGGTAGCCTATCCCTTCTTCAGGGGAAACTCCAGACCCAGGAATCAAACTGGGGTCTCCTGCACTGCAGGTGGATTTTTTTCCTACCAGCGAAGCTACCCGGGAAGCCCCTTAGATACAACACTAAAAGAATAATTAACATAAGAAAAATTGATAAATTGGACTTGGACAAAATTCAAAACTTCTCTTCTTTGAAAGGAACGATTTAGGGAATGAAAAGACAGACCATGGGGTGGGAGAAAATATTTGCAAATCACCTATGTGATAAAGAAATACATAAAGAACCTACAACGTACTCTCCAAACTCAATAAATAAGAAAACAAATAACTCAATAAAATGATGCAGCCATTTTTTAATAGACTCTTTATCAAAGATATGAACAGCAAATAGGCACCTAAAATATGATCATCATTAGTGTAGAAATGCAAATTAAAGCCACAATGAGATACCTGTGCATATCTATAAGAATGGTTAAAAGTTAAAAGACTGACGATACTCAATGTTGATAAGGACATGGAGAAAGAGGAAATCTCATAATACTTTGGAAAACTTGGGAACTTCTCCAAAAATTAAATGTAAATCTAGAATATGATCCAGTCATACAACTCCCAGGTATTTATCCATGTGAAAGAAAAGCATGTTGTCTATACAAAAACTAGTACACAGATGTTCACAGTAGCTTTTCTGTAATAGCCAAAATTGGAAGCAACCTGAATACTTATAACAGATGAAGGAACACACCAATTGTGGTACACCCATACACTGAAATACTACTCAGCAATAAAAAGGAATGAACTATTGATACATGTAACAACACTGACAAATCTCAAAATAGTTATGCTGAGTGAAAGAAGCCAGGGCAAAAAAAAGCACATACAACATTATTCTCTCCTATATATGACTCTAGAAAATGAAGTGAAACTAATCCATGGAAACAAAAATCATATCATATTTTAAAACAAATAAAAAAAAATCATTGATTATTTAAGAGCAAGCAGGTTAAGAAGCAATGTTATAAAACAGCTGAGAACTAACCTTGGCAACTGCACATCGAACAGCCATCGACCTGTCAGTTAAGAGGGACCTGGCATTCTTGTAAATATCACGATGACAGGAAGCTGCTGCACCACCCAGTCCATTCAGAACTTTCTGTAGACTCATTAAGATTTCACTTCGCCCCTGAGACTACACATGAACATAAAGAAAATTCCACATTTAAATAAGAACACACCAATACACAAAACTTCTCTAGCCTAATGGCCTTAACGCTAAACATAAATAGTAAGTAATGAAAAATGGAAAGTATTCTAAAATGTATCTAAAAGGTAAAAATAATTATTAACTTCAACAAGATAATACCTGAGAAATTATGTTACAATAAGTAAACATATTCTAATGTTTCCAGGACCTGTTGAAGTGCAAATAATGAGAACATGAAAAATTCCAAAGCTTCAATATAATAATCTCTCAAGGATCCCAACTTTTAGAATGTAAAAAGTTACAAAAAGTACCTAGGTAATGTAAAGCATCTAAAAGAGGAATAAAATATCCAACACAGTTTTAAAACTTCTCAGATATATTCCAAACTATGAAATTATTGGGACTAAAATTGAACTGTTGTTTTTGCACTGTTACAGTGTTTGATTCATATTTCTGAGAGTATACTGATTTAAATATAGATCTCTTCCACTAGATCGTAAGCTTTTTGAGGTCGAGTGGTAGATCTTATTTCTTTATAAGCCTAATGCCTGAGAATATGTCCTCAATTCTTGCTTAATAAACGAATAGACAAAGAGTTCTTAGAAGAGGTATTGTCCAAGAAACCTTTAGTTTTCCTAGATAAAGAATTAGACTATGAGACCAGTGTTTGGTCTATTTTTAGTTAACCCCAACTGAACAAAGAATTTTCAGAAGTAATGACAAATTGAAATAACAAAACAGAACTCTCTTTATATCATGTTGGCTGCTATGGATTGAATACTGTCTTGCCAAAAGAAAAGATCAGTCCTATGCCTTGTTACCTGTAAACATGACTTTATTTGGAAGTAAGGTTCCCAGATAACCTTAGGAAGCATCACTACAAACAAAGCTAGTGGAGGTGATGGAATTCCAGTTGAGCTACTTCAAATCCTAAAAGAACTTGTAGAACATAAGCCAATATCTAAACTTTATAATTAAAAAGTTTAATGTAATTTGGTCTAAAAATTAATTAGCCCAGAAAAAATAAAAGAATTAAAACATACATTCAATTTATATATATATTCAATTTTTTTGTTTAAATTACCTGTAGGGATACAAACTGATTTTATACTAATTTTTTTTAATAATTGAATTTAAAAATATAGGAACATACTTNCAACCTAGACAGCATATTAAAAAGCAGAGACATTACTTTACCAACAAAGGTCTGTCTAGTCAAAGCTATGGTTTTTCCAGTAGTCATGTATGGACGTGAGAGTTGTACCATAGAGTAAGCTGAGTGCTGAAGAATTGATGCTTTTGAACTGTGGTGTTGGAGAAGACTCTTGAGAGTCCCTTGGACTGCAAGGAGATCCAACCAGTCCCTCCTAAAGGAAATCAGTCCTGAATATTCACTGGAAGGGCTGACGTTGAAGCTGAAACTCCAATAGAGTGGCCACCTGATGCAAAGAACTGACTCATCTGAAAAGATCCTGATACTGGGAAAGACTGAAGGTGAGAGGAAAAGGGGACGACAGAGGATGAGATGGTTGGCTGGCATCACCGTCATGATGGGCATGAGTCTGAGTAAACTCCCGGAGCTGGTGATGGACAGGGAAGCCTGGCGTGCAGCAGTCCATGGGGTTGCAAAGAGTCTGACACAACTAAGCGACTGAACTGAGACTGAGAAACGAAATCAAGTAAAGATGAAGTCATACTAGATCAGGGTGAACCCTAATTCGATGACTGGTACCCTTATACTATGAGAATTTGGACACAGAACCAGATGCATTGGTAGAATACCGTATGACAGCAGAGATCGAGACACGAGAGATATATCTGCAAACCCAGGAATACCACCAAATGCCAAAGACTGCCAGTAACAACGAGAAGCTAAGAAGGCAAGGAAGGATTATTCCCAAGAGTCATCAGAGGGAAAATGGCCCTGCTCATACCTTGCTTTCAGACTTAAACTTCCAGAATTGGGACAAAAGAGATTTCTGTTGTTTTAAGCCATCCATTTTGTGATAATTTATTAAGGCAGCTCTAGAAAACTAATACATTATCTATGGTACAAAAAAATAACATGGCACTACAAAAATATCCCTGGGGTTAATGTAAACCTCTTCTTTGTTAAGGAAAAGCATTATTTCCTTTCTACTTGAAATATGAGGAATTGTGCATTAAGACAAGAGGCAAGTAATATTTTTTACAAGTAATAATTTTAAATTACCCTCTTGGTAAGCCATATGAGTAATGCACTTAACAGAAAAAAGGCAAACATAGGTTTTAACTAATACCTAACTCCCACCACAAGCAAAACAGTTAATACTTGTAAAACTTACCTCTGCACTCTTCAGAGATTTCAAAAGATTATTCACTGTTTCTGGAAATGCACTGCCTAACATTCTCCCCATTTTTTCATAAAATGCTCCAACACAAGCCACTGCAGCCCTGTAAGAAGTGATATTTTCATCAGTCACTGTTTAGATTAATAATTTTGTCATTTTTTTATTTTTCGGGGTTCATTTTTTTTTGCCCGGGCCTTTTTTTTCCCCAATTTTTAACTTTTCGTTACCCGTTTCTTGTTTCTTGCTTTTCTTAAAAAAATCTATAAATAATAAATGCTAGAGTGAAGTGAAGTGAAGTTGCTCAGTCGTATCCGACTCTATGCCACCCAGTGGACTGTAGCCCACCAGGCTCCTCTGTCCATGGGATTGTCCAGGCAAGAGTACTGGAGTGGGTTGCCATTTCCTTCTCCAGGGGTCTTCTCGACCCAGGGATCAAACACAGGTCTCCCGCATTGCAGGCAGACGCTTTAACCTCTGAGCCACCAGGGAAGCCCTGCCGGAGAGGGTGTAGGGAAAAGGGAACCTTCCTACACTGTTGGTGGGAATGTAAACTGGTGTAGTCACTATGAAAAAGAGTATTGATACTGAGATTCCTCAAAAAACTGAAAATACGGCCACCGTATGATTCAGCAATCCCATTTCTGGGCATATATCCTCAAAAAACAAAAACTCTTTAATTCAAAAATACACATGCACGCCAGTGTTCACAGCAGCACTACTTACAATAGCCAAGATGTGAAAACAACCCAAATGCCCACCAACAGATGGCACAGATGGCAACAGGACAGATGACAGCTTAAGAAGATGTGGTGTGTATATATACACAATTGAGTATTACTTAGCCATAAAAAAGAATGAAATACTGCCATTTACAGCAACATGGACGGACCCAGAGAATATCATACAGGGTGAAAAAGCCAGTCTGAGAAAAACAAATATTATTTGATATCACTTATTTGTGGGATCTAAAAGACAATACAAATGAATCTATATACAAAACAAAAGAGACTAAGAGACACAGAAAACAAACTTAACAGTTACCGAAGGGGACGAGGCGTGGAGGGATAAATTAGGAGTATGGGATCAGCAGATACAAACTACTATACATAAAATAGATAAGCAATAAAGATTTACTGTTCAACAAAGGGAACTATATTCAATATCTTACAATAACCTCTGATGGAAGATAACCTAAAAATATATATACATATAAAACTGAATCACTTTGCTATATACCTGAAACTAAGGTATTGCAAACCAAGTATATTTCAATTAAAAATTTTTTAGAAAAAAATGCTTTGCTTATTCCTTATAATTGTCGACAAATACTATGGTTAATCAAACTGTATTCTTGTCAGAAAAGTAGGAGAATAAACATATATTCATATAATAAATCATACCCGTCCTTTGGAAAGAAACCCAAGCTTTCTTTTTGCTGTTGTTATTTAGTTGCTAAGTCCTGTCTGACTCTTTTGCAACCCCATGGACTGTAGCCTGCCAGGCTCCTCTGTCCAAGGGATTTCCCAGGCAAGAATACTGAAGTAGGTGGCCATATCCTTCTCCAGGGGATCTTCCCAACCAAGGGATCGAAACTGTGTCTCCTGCATTGCAGGAGAATCTGCATTTATCTTTTGGGCTCTGGCAAATCTGTGTCTAAATCCTAGGACCTGCCACACAAAAGCTATGTGTCCTGAAACAAGTTACTCTGAGGCTGAGAGTGATTAAATAAATTTAGTTTACTATCCTACAAGCAACAAACAGTAGAATCAGAGACTCGATTTTCACCTCTTTGACTCCAAATCCCATGCTTTTTTCAATATTCTATAGGCTGAAAACAAAGCTAAAAATGTCTGAGGTCATTTGCCAGAATATATTACGGAATTCCTAAATATAACCCATGAATCCACTGGAAATACATATGAGTAATAAGTAATATACAATAAATTCTGCTTTATCAGAACTATAAAATCATGTGTGGATTTGCTAAGTAATGGAGAATTTAATCAGAAAACGATGAACATACCTCCAAACTCCAGAATAAACTGGAAAGCACTTTTAAGATCCATATGCATCCCGAAATAACACAAAATTTAATCACAGCATACCTATGTAGTTGAAAACAGACCTAAACACCAGTGTCCAAGTTCAGAATAGTTTCCCCATTTCCTCTGTAAGCTCTTATACTGGTCCTGGCTCCCTGAATGTTGGTGTTGTGAAGGTGTATCCTTGGCACCTTCCCCTCTCAAAACAGTAATACACCTTTTCTAGGTAACTTTATCCAGAACGCAGTTTCAGTCTACTCCCAAATCTCCATTCTCTCTCTACTCACAAAAACAACATTCTCAGCTCAAGTCTCTGAAACCCAGACCAGGATTTCCAACTGCTTACTACACACTGTCACGTGGACTCAAACTCAGCACGTCCAGAACTGGATTCATCATCTTCTCCTGAATTTATCCCCTCCACTATTCTGTACTGGAAATAAGGTATAAATAACCCAGCTCTGTTTCCAGTTATAAGTTTCCTTTGTCCAGAAAATAGGTTGGGAAACACAGTCTGCAGGCCAAATCTGGCCCATCATCCAGTCTGCCACCTGTTGCTGTAAATATTTTTATTGGTATACAGCTGTACTCACTTATTTACATACTGTCTATGGCAGAGTTGAGTAGCTGCAACAGAGGTATTCAACAAATCCAAGTCTATTTACTACCTGGCCCTTCCCATAATACTTGCTGGTCCCTAATCCATCACATCCATCTTCCCCTTTTCCCATCTTAACCCCTGCTTGACTCATTTCCATATGGCCTTCCTTGATGGTTCTTCTTTGACGCTTTTTTGAGAAGCCTTCATTGACACTGCTCTTCTCTCACACCACAGCTATTTATTCAGGTGTTATTTTCCCCTCCCACAGCACCCCTCACTGTACTGTAACTGCTGATTTTCTTAAAGGACTCTTTCACAAGGTGCATCCCTAAGGCCATTATCCTCAAGACCTCCTCTGAAAATACCTGCCCTAGATCCAAACCACAAGTATGAGCTTGGAGTTGGGTTAAGTCCTTAACTTAGGAGTCAATAAAGTGAAAGTGAAAGTTGCTCAGATTGCAGCCTATCCATGGAGTTCTCCAGGCAAGAATACTGGAGTGGGTAGCCTATCCCTTCTCCAGGGGATCTTCCCCACCCAGGAATTGAACCAGGGTCTCCGGCATTCCCTAGTGGCTCAGCTGGTAAAGAATCTGCCTGTAATGCAGGAAACCCAAGTTCGATCCCTGGGTTGGGACAATCCCTTGGAGAAGGAAATGGCAAACCACTCCAGTACTCTTGCCTGGAGAACTCCAGGGACAGAGGAGCAGGACAGGCTGCAGTCCATTGAAATGCAAAAAGTTGGACATGATTTTGCAACTAACTTTCACTTTTTCATTCCTGCATTGCAGGTGGATTCTTTACCAGTTGAGTTCCCAGGGAAGTGGCCTCTGTCTCAGGTACTCAACTCTGCCACTTTGGCATGAAAGCAGCTACTAAATGAGGGAGCATGTCTGTATTCTAATAAAATTTTATTTACAAAATACGCGGCAAGCTGGATTTGACCTGGGGGCTATAGTTTGCCTGTTCCTGCATCAATCTCATCACCTAGAAAATCTTTTCTTTCCATCCCAGCCAAGAATATATATCATCTCCTTCAAAATTACCAGAAACCCCTGTGCAAATTGCTGACATCAAACCAATTCTCTGTAGTTTGCTACAAGTGCCAGGGACAATGGAGCATATGTTGAAATAGAACTCCTTCCCCAGACCTACTTAGAGCTTTTACTGTCAACAGCATGACCCAGGCTCCATCTACCTGGGAATCTTTAAGATCAGCAGCTCTTCATTAAGATAATGTGTAAGTATTAGTCGCTCAGTCATGTCTGACTCTTTTGCAAACCTATGGACTGTAGCCCACCAGGTTCCTCTGTCCATATAATTCTCCAGGCAACAACACTGGAGTGGATTGCCATTCCCTTATTGAGATAAATTACTCTGAAAAAAAAAAACAAGTTTCAAGGGTTAATTTCAAAGTAAGTACTTACAATTTTGTTGGTAAGTAGGCTGCAGTGTCATCTTTATTTCTGATAATGTCATTACATTTATCAAGTGTTTGAAAAACAGTGAAAGTATCCCCAATGCTATAAAGGGCTGCAAGGTTTTTAGCTAACAATTTTCGCGTAGGTGGTCCAGGTGAACTACTTATTAATCCAGTTAATTGTTCAACAAGTTTTTTCTGTTTTTCCTTTACATCAGTCTGTTAAGAAAAAAAAAAAATAACATCAGTTTTCTTCTTATACATAATTTTATCTTTTAGTCAACAAAAGGTTGTTCTGTTTAAATTTAAAGGAGATTAAATATTCTCTTTCATTCTTCTCCAATTCCACAAAGTTAGCTATCAGTAAAAGTGACTACTCTATATCCAAAAAGTTTCCACACTGGCTTATTAAAAAATAAAACAATCAAAGGATGTAAAATATTAAGTGTATGGACAATTAATGTCTTAGAACTCAGCTGGGGTCCCCTATAAAAGCAAAGTCAGTATCTCACAAAGCTATATAGCTCAGTAAAGGAAACCAAAAGAAACTCTGAAGAGCCCTAGGAAACAGAAAAAATATTCAGATTTACTCATAATCAATGCTGAGAGTTCATTCACTCATTAAAGGAATATTTATTGTGCACGTACATGCACAATGCCTATTCTAGGCACTGGGGAGCAAGAGTGACCACAACAGACAAAGCCTCTGCAGTCAAGAAGTTTACATTCTAGTGGGGAGAAAGAGTGTTTACAAATAAACATGATCAGTGTTAAGTTCTTACTGTTTTATAGAGACTAGTAAGAAAAAGGCAACCTGAAGAGAAATCAAGGTGTGAGTTATGCAGATATCTGGGAGAAGAACATTCCTGGCAGGAAACAAATGCAAAGGCCTTGCTCGGCATGCTTGAGGACAGAGAAATCAGTGTGGCTGGAGCAGAATAAGACAGAGGAAGCAGCAGGGGATGAAGTCAGAACAGTAGACAGGACCAGGTCATGCAGTGCCTCGGACACCACTGTAAGAACTCTGTATTTTATTCTGAGAGTTTGAAGCAGAGGAGGGACATGATTAAATGTTCTAACAGGCTCATTCTGACTACTGAGCTGAGGATACTCTACAAATGTACATGGTTAGAGGCATGGTGAGCACTTAAGAAGTTGTGGCAAAAATTCAATAAGAAATGAGAGCGGTAACAATGGAAATAATGAGAAATAATTAAATTCTGGACATATACAGGGGATAGAACCAATATGAATTGCTGAGAAACATGATGTGAAGTTTGAGAAAAAAAGGGAAGTGAAGAATGATTCTAAGGTTTATGATTTGAGCAACCAGAAGGATGAAAAGGTCATTTCCGGATAGAAAGTACAGGGGAAAGGACAGGTTTGGGAGGGTTAAATCAATAATTTGGTTTTAACTTTGAGATGCCATTTAGATATCCAAGAGGTATGTAGATGTATCTACTATGTAGATGGTAGTAAAAGTCATGGCATTAGATAGTGTCACCACTGAAGGAATAAGATGTATTTAAAAAAAAACAAACCAAAAAAACTGTGCCCAGGACTGAGAAACAGCCATCAAAAGAGGAGGAGTAACTAGTCAAGTTGGACAAGAACTAAAAGCAAACAGTTTCTTAGGAACCACAAATAGGAAAAGCTTCACACCAACGGTGCATCAACAGTATTGTTAACAATTTATTTTTTAATGTGAGTGAAGGGAGCACAGAGGTTCATATTATTATGCTTCACAATTTGGATAACTTTTTACATACTCCTTTTATTTTTCAATTTCACAACAAAATAAAAAATGTTTTAAGTATTTCAAGACAGAGGATCATCTAGGTGAAAAGTTGCTGCTGGGTCCATTAAGACAGAATACTGACCATTGGTTTGGGCAAAAGAAGATCTATTTCAGTGAAATGGAGGCAACACATACTCAGATGGAGTGAGTTTAAGAGAAAATAGGATCTTTTAGTTAAAGACTGTAATGAATCCATGCATTAATTCTGTCTCTACAGAAACTAAAGTATACTCCAGGGTAATCAAAGAAATAAATAAGTAATTAAAAAGTACAAGTACACAAGGGCAAAGAAAACAAAGAATGAATTCAAAATATAGAAGCCAGCTATACTCAATAGGGAAAGCTAGAAGATACCCAACTTCCAACATAGAACCCCCTAAGAGCTCATGTATGTTGTGGCTTTTGTTTTGAGGCATCAAGGTTCTCGAGGAGGAGAGAATAAAGCTGTACCTAGAAGTGAAGGGAATGACTGAGAGTCTAAGAAGCTGTAAGACTCTCATATCTCTCTTCTTCATACTGGACTTTGCAAGCTCAGGCACAACTGTGGGCTGGGAAAACTACACTGACTACAGGGGAACTAATTAAAAGTTAACACACTGAATCCTGAAGTCCCCAGCTTTCTCCACCAAATCCTAGAATCTAGGCAGTGAGTCATATACCTTAGGACACTTTAAAGTAAAAAAGTCTCTTGTGGGGAATGACTAGCCCAGAGAAATCTATAAAGAGTCCTCAAAGAACTGGGCCAGTATGACAAAACACAGTTAACACACATCATTCTGCCCAGCAAACTTTTATTACTGCCTCTTAAATTTTATTTTTAAAATCTATTTATTTTTTAATTGAAGGATAATTACTTTACAGAATTTTGTTGTTTTCTGTCAAACCTCAACATGAATCAGCTATAGGTATACATACATCCCCTTCCCTCTTAAATTTGAGCAGACGGTAAAAGATTATCAGAAGTTTGAGTTCCTAATTTTAAACACAGCATCTAATTTTCAAAATGGAGAGTAAAACACACAAATATTGAAAAGTAATTTGGATGAAAAGACTGTGAAGGAAAGAAAGAAAAAAAAAAGGCTAACTCTTCAGAGAGACAGAGAAGGCAATGGCAACCCACTCCAGTACTCTTGCCTGGAAAATACCATGGAAGGAGGAGCCTTGTAGGCTGCAGTCCATGGGGTCGCTAGGAGTCGGACACGACTGAAGCGACTTAGCAGCAGCAGCTTCAGAGAGACAAGTGAAGATACTGAAACTGCTACACAGCACTTAGGGGCCACTTGATGTTGGAGATAATGAATTTAAGGTGATAGCAGTCACATAATCTTCTTTTTCTCCACTCAAATTTAAATGTCCAGGAAGAAATACGAAGCCTCTATCCAAGCAATACGCTGGATTTAAATGAGGTTTCAGTTTTGCCACAGGATAGAAAAAGGACAGACAAGAAATTTTTACTACAGTGTAATATTCTCAAGTGACCCACAACCTCCAAAACATAATGTGCTTTCTTACAAATCATTTACACATAATATTCTTTACATATGCTAACTCAACTAGATAAAAAGCAATACCATACCTTGTTGGCAGCAACCAAGACTTTATCAAGAAATCGCAACCATTCAAAGATAAAAACTGGTCTCTTTGCTTCAGTGATTTGAGCCAAAGCTTCTTCATTGAGCAATAAACTGTGGGCTAACTCCATGACTGAAGTTTTAAATTCACACCTTAAATAAACAATTTTAAAATTCTTGTAAAGACTTGTTCATGTTAAAAGTCAAGCTTCATGAATATAATCACTAAGAAAAGAAATACAAGGCTTTACTTCTCATCTCACTTGGAGGACACGTACATAACTTCGAGGCAAAACCTGAGAAACTGATTTTAAAGGATAAGGGTGCAAACAAAAACAAATGAAAGTCATGCTTGTTGAGGAAGAATGGATAATGGGGTGAAAGGAAAATCAAAATAAACAGTGCAAAAAAGGCATGGTTCCAGAAGAAAAACACATGTCCTTTACCCATTTCATAAATAGAAAACCGAAACACCAATATCAGACATCAGCCGAGCATGACAACCCACCCTACGATTTTCTCTCCTTTGCTGGATGCACAGCACCCTCCCCCTGCTGCACCTGCCCCAGGAGGACTTCAAGGCGTCCGGGCAGAAGGATGCCACCCTTTTTCTGGCAGGGGCGGCTCAGCGGAGCTCCAGGGCCCGAAGCAGCCGCCAAGGGACCCGGATGCCCCGCCTCCCACACTCCAGCCGGCAGGAAGCGCAGCGAGAGCGCGTGCGCGGAAGTGATCCTGCGCAAGCGCACTTAACCGCGTCCGCCAAGCCCCGCCTGCCGCAGCTTTCCAATTGAGCCTGTTTTCGGAAACTCAGGAGCGACTGAGGCAAGCGCTCTGTAGAGCTGGCCCGGGGCTAGTGGAACCTCCAGGTAAGGGGCTGTGGGCGCCTGTCGAATGATAAAGGGTGGTGATCTGTACGCTGGCTGTAACTGGCCATCACACCGTCTCTTATGTTCCCACCCGTGGGTGGTCAAGTCTGTGGGATGAGCGCCAGGAGGGAAGGGATCGGCGGTCCCTGAAGGGAGTGTTTGGGACTGAGGCGTTTCTTGTCATCTTTCTGCTGTGCTACTTAGTCCGTCTCTCCACTGGGATGTGTAATGAGACTCTCAGTACATGCGAAGCATCGCTTTTTTAAAAAGTATGTTTGAATTACAATGTTGTGTATTGTAATGTACACAACTGTTGTACAGCAAAATGGCTCATTTATACATACGTGTATATGTTTCCATATTCTTTTCCGATATGTTATCACAAAATATTGACTATAATTCCCTGTGCTATACAGTCAGATGTTGTTGTTTACACATTCTCGTTGAACCTACTACTCCCAAACTACCAATCCATCCGTCTTCCTACCTCCTCCCTTTGGCAGCCGCCAGTCTATTCTCCGTGTCCCTGATTCTGTCTCTTATTTCATAAATAGGTTCATTTGTGTCATATTTTAGGTTCCACATATATCGTATGGTATTTGTCTTTCTCTTTCTGACTTGCTTCACTTAGTATGATTATTTCTAGTTGCATCCATGTTGCTGCAAATGGCATTGTTTTGTTCTTTATCCATTTCTTTATTCATTCATCTGTCAGTCGACATTTAGGTTATTTCCATGTCTTGGCTATTGTGAAGAGCTTCTATGAACACGGGTGATGTAGCACTCTTGTTGACACCTCCCACCTGCTCTCTGCCAGAAAACAAACAAAAACAAAACCTGATACTGCAATCTGACCATTTGCAAGAACTGGTAACTCCATTATTTATTCAAACCAAAAGCCCAACGGTCACCCTTGGCATTAATCTTTCACATGCCACCTCCAATCCCATTATCCTTATCTTCAGAATATACCCAGAATCCGATGATTTCTCATCACTTCCATTGCTGTCTAGCCACTGTCATTTTACCTGGATTATCACCTTGTGGAGTTTATCCTTATGCTTCATGGGAATAGATGATGCTGGGAAATATGTTGTACCCATAAAAAGGGGGCTTAAATGACCTGTAACACCTGTTCTTGTCTGCATGGCCCTTTAGAGCTAAATAGGCCCCTGAAAAATAATCTAATCCTATTTGCAGTAGAAACAGCTCGACATAGGGTTTTGTGTGTGTGTGTGTGTGTGTGTGTGTGTGTGTGTGTGGTATTGAGCAAATCACTTACCTAAACTGAGTCTTAATTAAAGCAGGACTAACTGTACCTGGCAGGCTACAGTTCATGGGGTCACAGAGAGTGGGACATGACTGAGTGACTAAGCATAGCACAATTGTACCTATCGTACAGAGCTGTTAACGGTAATTAATATTTCTTTTTATTTTTATTTATTTATTTATAGGGCTTCACTACTTAGTTGTAGCATGGAGGATCTAGTTCCTTGATAAGGATTTAACCCATAGCCCTGTGTTCGGAGCACAGAGTCTTAGCCACTAGACCACCAGGGATGCTGTTAACAGTAATTAAATAGGATAAAAATGTTTGATATACTAGGTAGGTGTTTTATTGACTACGCCAAAGCCTTTGACTGTGTGGGTCACAACAAACTGTGGAAAATTCTGAAAGAGATGGGAATACCAGACCATCTGACCTGCCTCCTGAGAAATGTATATAAAGGTCAAGAAGCAACAGTTAGAACTGAACATGAAACAACAGACTGGTTCCAGATAGGAAAAGGAATATGTCAAGGCTGTGTATTGTCACCCTGCTTATTTAACTTATAAGTAGAGTACATCATGCAAAATGTTGAGCTGGATGAATTACAAGTTGGAATCAAGATTGCCAGGAGAAACATTAATAACCTCAGATACGCAGATTGGCCACATGATGTGAGGAGCTGACTCGTTTGAAAAGACCCTGATGCTGGGAAAGATTGAAGGCGATTGAAAGATTGAAGGTTTGATGCATGAGACAAGTGCTCGGGGCTGGTGCACTGGGAAGACCCAGAGGGATACAATGGAGGGGGAGGTGGGAGGGGGCTTCAGAATGGGGAACACATGTAAATCCATGGCTGATTCATATCAATGTATGGCAAAAACCACTACAATATTGTAAAGTGATTAGCCTCCAACTAACATAAATAAATGGAAAAAAAAAGAGAGATCTATGTCAACCCTTCATAATGCAGTTTACCATGCTAAACAAGATTTCCATTATTCTAGTGACCCTATTCAAGTCTGGCAAATAAAGCAATGAAGAAAAAAAAAAAATTGAAGGCGGAAGGAGAAGGGGACAACAGAAGATGAGTTGGTTGGATGGCATCACCGACTCAATGGGCATGAATTTTGAGTAAACTCCAGGAGTTGGTGATGGACAGGGGGGTCTGGCATGCTGCAGTCCATGGGGTCACAAAGAGTCAGACTTGACTGAGCGACTGAACTGAACACAGATGACACCACCCTTATGGCAGAAAGCGAAGAAGAACTAAAAGAGCCTCTTGATGAAAGTGAAAGAGGGGGAAAAAAAAAAAAGAAAGTGAAAGAGGAGAGTGAAAAAGTTGGCTTAAAACTCAACATTCAGAAAACTAAGATCATGGCATCTGGTCCCATCACTTCATGGCAANCTTTAGAGACACTGGGTGAATTACTGCAAATGCTGTACATAATATATAAAGACAGCCATCCACAGCCCAGCTTCACATACTTCCAGTTCAGAAATCCCAACAAAGAGAGCTTCTTTCCCACCACAATCCATGTATAACTATCATTAAGGAAAGAGAGTGGAAAAGCTGGTGTAAACCTATATTCAAAAAACTAAGATCATGACATCCAGTCCCATCACTTCATGGCAGATAGATGGGGAAACAATGGAAACAGTGACAGATTTCATTTTCTTGGGCTCTAAAAATCACTGTGGATCGTGACTGCAGCCTGAAATTAAAAGATGCTTGCTCCTTAGAAGAAGAGCTATGACAAATCTAGACAGTGTGTTAAAAAGCAGAGACACACTTTGACTAAGGTCTGTGTAGTCAAAGCTATGGTTTTTCCAGTAGTCATGTACAAATGTGAGAGTTGGACCATGAAGAAGGCTGAGCGCTGAAAAATTGATGCTTTCAAACTATTATGCTGAAGAAAACCCTTGAGGATCCCCTGGACTGCAAGGAGATCAAACCAGTCAATCCTAGAGGAAATCAACCTTAAGTATTCATTAGAAGGAATGATGCTGAAGCTGAAGCTCCAGTACTGTGGCCACCTGATGCACAGAGCTGACTCATTGAAAAAGACCCTGATTCTGGGAAAGATTAAGGACAGGAGACGAAGAGGGAGACAGAGGATGAGACGGTTAGATGGCATCACCGACTCAATGGACATGACTGAGCAAACTCTGGGAGATGGTGAAGGACAGGGAAGCCTGGTGTGCTGCAGTCCATGGGGGTCTCAAAGAGTTGGACATGACTGAGCGACTGAATATCCACAACAGGGAAAGAGATGCTTATTTGCCCTGTTTAGGTCATCCCCTCCCCTCTTACTAGGACATAGGGTACTATAACTGGCCACCTTATGCCCCAGCGTGTACTAATTGCCACCCTCCAGTAGAACCACAAGGAAGGCAGAGGGCTGAGTTCCAAAAGGAAGGATGATGAACAGGCCGACACAGTGTATGTGTACTGCAGCAAGTGACTCCCTTTTGTATCCAGCAACTGCACCAGAAGCATTGACGGCACCTGGGAGCCTGTTAGAAATTCAGAGCCTGGACTCAAGCTCAGAATCAGACTTTGCATTTTGAGAAACATGCTGCATGCTAAAAGTCACTTCAGTCGTGTCCAACTGTTTGTGACCCCATGGACTGACTGTAGCCTACTAGGCTCTTCTCTCCATGGGGATTCTCCAGGCAAGAATACTGGGTTGAGTTGCCATGCCCTTCTCCAGGGGATCTTTCCGACCCAGGGATTGAACCCACATCTCCCTGCGACTCCTGCTTCGTAGGCAGACTCTTTACCGCTGAGCTTCCAGGGAAGCCATGAGAAAATCCCGGGGCAATTCATATACACAGGAAAGTTTGAAGTACACTTTTCTGGATAGTTATTTTATCCCTTTAAGGGCTAATTATTACATGATTTTAACTATTTTGGCTAAAACTGTCCTCAGAAGTGTTTCCATATAAGTGAAGCGTTAACTGTATCTAGTTACCAATGAACAGCTTGAACATAAAGTGCTGTGGAGAGAGGCCTGGAGTAGTCAAGACAGCCATTTGTAAAAGCGGGTAGCGTAGACCTAGGAGGAATGAACTGTCTGCAGTGTGTTCAGAGGACAGTGAGACCATGTGGAGTGAGTAATGAATCCTGAAAAAGTGTCAGAGGTCGGATTATGGGGGATCTCTCCTGCTACCGTGTGAAAGTGATGGTTCCTCCACTGCCCCCAGGGGAAAGTTTGCTGAAGGATTTGAAACCAGCAAGTAACATGGCCTGACTTATGTTTTGGTTTTTTTTTTAAACAAACAAACAAAAAAAGCACTTTGGAGAGGTCATAGAGGACCTCTGTGGATTGGAAGAGGAGAGGCCAAAGGCAACAAGACCAATTAGGAAGCAGTTGTGACAGTTAAGGTGAGAAAGAAATGCCTGAACTAAAGTAGTGGTCACAGCTATAAGAAAAAAATGTCTATGAGGGATAATGTGGAAGAAGAGTGGACGGAGGTTTATGAGAAGTCAGGAAGGGGGAGATAGTGGTGACATTAATTTGGAAATACAGAGATAAAGGCAAT